TAATAACCTAACAATAATGCATTTTGTTCAAAGTTGGAAGATATTGAAAGTAATCGGTGCTTTTATAATTGCAACTTATTGCCAGGCACTCAACCAAGACATTGGTGAGAAATGCACAAACAAAAATGGTATTGTTGGATTTTGCCAATCAAAAATTAATTGTAGTGAAGACAGTAATTTAGGAGCTGTATGTAACTCTGAACAAACTATTATTTGCTGTGCTCAAAATACTTTAAAAAATAAGAAAAATATGACTTCAAGTGATAGTCTTCAAGAGGATCAAATGATACAATCACGATTTGGCTTTATACCAGATTTCTTTCATGCATCTTTAATACCTCAAAATCCAACACAAAATATTAATTTTTTTAATCATCAAAATAATAAAAATTCTGATATTGTTAGTAATGTATTTCATCAGAATTTAAATACTATGAAATTTATTGAAGATAGACCTTATCAAAATTTAGAACAAGATGTAGTGACCAAACCAAATAAAAAAAAAAATTCATTCACTACACAAACAAATAATTATGAATTTTATAGCAGTAATAATAATAATAATCATAACTCAAATATCCAAAATATTTTTGATAGCCCTCAAACTACAAAAATATCTCAAATTAATTATCATTATTCTAGTTATGAAACACAAAGACCGAATTTTAATCAAAATAACAACAATAATAAACGACCTAATTATGAAACATATCCTCAAAATCAAAATGATTATTATTATTTAAGTTCCACAACTATAAGGCCAAATTATAATCAAAATAACAATAATAATAAACGACCTAATTATGAAGCATATTCACAAAACCAAAATAATAATTATAACCCAAGTTCCACAATAATAAGGCCAAATCACAATCAAAATAACAATAATAATAATCAACCAAATTATGAGACATACCCACAAAATCAAAATAATTATCGTCCAACTAGTAGCAGTATATTTTTTCCCGATGATTCAGATGATTCTACTACTGAAAATTCTTACACAAAATTTACAACAATCAAGAAAAATAATTATGAATATCAATATAATCCATATAAAAATACAAAACGTATCAGTGAAATAAGTAAAATTAAATAAAATTTGCGAAAAAAATGTAATAGTTAACAATTAATTTTGATTGTAGAATGTGAAGAATATTCCAAGGCACTTACAACTACAATTTCTGTACTGCCTTTGTCAATTGATGCTGCAACAAAACCAGTGTCAATAGAAACATGTGATTCAACTGGTGTTGGATTAATCGTTGGTGGATCTAAAGCTGAATTAGGAGAATTCCCACATATGGTATATAAAATGTTATTCTTGAAATACAAATTTACATTAATTTAAATATGATTTGTACAGGCAGCAATAGAATTCCATACAGCAATTGGAAATCAATGGAATTGTGGTGGGACATTAATTAGTGAACAATTTGTACTGACAGCTGCTCATTGTACAATTAGTTCACAGTAAGTTTATTACATTTTTTAAATTAAAAAACGAGATTAAAAAAAATTAAATTTAAATTTTCCAAAATTATATATTTTTCTTTTACAGCAATATTTTTATTTTAAATTATAAATTATTTTGAATAGAGGTAATCCTGTTCGAGTAAGATTAGGAGAACTGAATTTACAAAATTCTATTGATGGTGCTAATCCAGTAGATGTTGTAATAAGTGAAATCATTGTACATCCTGATTATGTTTCATCACTAAGGTATAATGACATAGCTCTATTACGTTTGGAAAAGAAAGTAAAATTTAATAATCACATACGACCTGCTTGTCTTCACAACAAAGAAAATATAAATTCTCCTAAAGTTACCGCTACTGGATGGGGAAGTGTTGCATTTGGTAATTTATTACATTTAATAGTTTAATTTCTTAATATATCAAATTATATATAATTTTAAAAAATGTATATATTTAACATAGGTGATCATTCAAGTGATGAATTATTAAAAGTATTTTTAGATGTAATAGATAATCGACAGTGTAATAAGTTATATGAAGATCAAAAAAAAATCCTAAATAGAGGAATTATTGGTTCTATGTTGTGCGCTGGAGATTTAGCAGGAGGACATGATACTTGTTTGGTTAGTGAAGTTATTTTATATTAGATTTGAATGAATAAAATTTAAATTAAATTACTACTTACTATTTAGGGAGATTCTGGAGGACCACTTGTAATAAAATCAGAACATAATGCATGTGTTTTCAATTTAATTGGGATAACATCATTTGGAAAAGGTTGTGGAACTGTTAATTCAGCAGGAGTTTACACTAGAGTATCATCATTTTTACCTTGGATAGAAAAAATTGTGTGGCCCTAAAAATTAAATAACTAATGAATATGTTATATGCCATAACTTAAGTAAATAATTAATTTAATTATTATTTTATTTTAGATTTTTTGTGATTAATTAATATAATATTTTTCTATATTTTTTTTTTTTTTGTGTGACCTGACAAGAATTTTAATTGATATATTATCTGATACACATTTTGATCTGATAATAAAAACCCTGAATAATAATTAATTTTTATTAACTTTTTTTCAAATGAAAATGGTAATTTTTTAATGTCATTCATAAGAAATATTAATGTATAAGATATAAACTTGTATACTATACATACAATAGTTATTAATAAGCTTAGGGACTTCTAGCATTTGTATACTTTTTTTAATTATTGTTAAATGAGTGTGAAATAAATTTGTTTCTCGGTGCCATGATATCAAATCTAAAATTTGAATGTGCATATTATTGCATATTTTGACAAATTTTTCAAATTTAAAATCAAAAAACTATAGATACATATAACCGAGGTTCATAAGTTCATACCCTAAAAAATGCCTAAATAAGCATGCATTTATGCACTTAAAATTGGCAAAATATGCTTTGAATTATGCTTTAAAAAGTTAAAAAATATGCATTTATATTCTTTAAATATCTAAAATTATGCACTATGCACTTAAAAAATTCTTACATAAAAAAATCATAAATAATTTTGGAAATAACATGAATTATCCTTTTATTTTTTTATAGCTATATTTTATTTTTATATGTCACTATTAGAAAAAATAGATTTTAAATACTAGTTAATACTATTCTTGAGCCTTCATGAACTGCATGTAAGTACGTTTTTGTCAGTAATTCATTTTAAATCTGAAACTTTTGAAACTAATTTATTCATTAAATGTACGAGTATCAAAAAGATAAGATATCAAAAATGGCAAAACCACTGGAAAAATCAAGACACAAAATTAAATAAAATAAAAAACAATATCCAAGTATAGATACACCCCGGCCTTAACAGGAAACACGAAACTATTCTAAATCGACTTCGCATTGTACACTCATTCGTAACACATAGCCACCTCATGTCCAGAAAAGACACTACCATATGTGAAACGTGTGGTATAGAGGTCACAATCAAACACATACTCATCGATTGCTACAAATACTCGGACTCAAGATCAAAACACCATTTACCCCAACAATTAAGCGAAGCCCTACAACCAGATCTTCAATCAAACATCAATATAATCAATTACTTAAAGGACATCAATTTATATAACTTCATTTAAGTTTTTATCATGTGAATTGTACAATTAAAAAAAAATAAAATGTAATCTAATCAAAAATGTAATACATAACTAATGGCCCTGTAGCCGATGTTTTTAATGTTCAATAAAAAAAAAAAAAAAGATAAGAAAATATAATTTTTATTTTTAATTTTATTTATATTTTCCATTTCAATTTTTGATAGATTCTAATAGAATGTTGAATAATATGCCCTATAAAATAGAAATATGCATAAATAAGATTTCACATATTTAACCGTGGTAACTTGAATTGGATTTCTATGTCATCTAGCATTAAATACAACTTTGCAAGATTGATATGCAAATGCATGAACTTACAAGCCCTGCATATAACAATATATACATATTTCAAACGATCGACAAAAAAATGTACTAAAAGGACTTAATACTTCCAGTAATATGCTATCTGCAAACTACTTCTATCTAAAAACTACTATCTCGTTATAATTTATGAGCAAGTATAAATAATACTGTATACCCGTATCGATCGTAACCCGCTGGATATTGACCGGATGTCGATAAAAATAATAGTCGATATAGAATAATAGATTATTTATTTAGTTCAGTCGACTATTATCCGTCGTTGTTTTTGCGGCTCGGAAACTCGCAACATCGAATACGTAAGATGTTATACGAGTATATTATATAACAATTTGTAATGTCGAAAGTACAACAGTCTACGAGTGGCCGACTACTAAGTTTTGTTTTGGAGTTTGAAAGATACATTTACATCCGATGGATACGTTTTATTTTGTTTACTATGTGGAAATTTTTTTTTTTTAATGCATATAAATCCATATTATAATGCATATTTTAATAATTTTAGAAGCATATTTGTGTATTTTTTAGAGCTATAAGTCCCTAAGCCTAGTTATTAACAATTTGATAATATCAACATAAGAATGATAATATTAATTATTAATTTTAGCCAAAGAGATTAGCGAATGCATAGCTTTTCATTTAACTGTATAATTGCAATGTTATTCAGTACATATTCAGATGACATGTTTTTTTTTTGAAATTATTTATTTAAATATTTATGAATTATAATTTTTTATTAAATATTTTGGTTGATCAATAATATATAGTACTTTGAATTGGTCTTTCTCAGAAAATAAAAATATGTTTTCAAGAAACTACAAAAAAACAATAAAATGTAAAACATCTAGCTTTTTTTAATCCATTTCTGGACTAAATCATTACAAATCATAATACACAATTATGACCATCTTTCTTTAGCTGCACACAATTTTTTTTTTTTGTCAAATGTAAATCCATTTTATTTTAATTATAATTAAAATACATAAACCTAATTTTTAACATAAATTTACATTTAAACAAAACAAAAGAAAATATAAGTTGTTGATACAAAAGGAATTGGACAAATTTATTTTATAAGAACCTCAGGTATTTTGTCCAAAATATTTTTTCTAAGTATATAAAATAATAAATAATTGAAAATTTTAAAAGTAAAATAAATAATTGTTTAAAATAAAAGATAAATAGTTATACAAGAAAAAAAATGATTAGAAAAATAAAAAATAATAGTATTAATTTATTTTGTTATATCATTATATTAATTTCCTAACCTAACCTGTCACAGTTCAAATATCTGGTTAATAAAAGTAAAAATAAATATTTATGTAATGTATCTAAAAGTTTTATATTTAATACTATTAATTAAATGTATATTTATAAATCATAGTCATATAAATTACACAATTTTAATTTATTATTATTTAAATTTTCATTAGCAAACATTGACCATTGTTCATGAATATGTTCAAGCCTCCAAGTGATTTATTATCACTAAAATAAAATCAAATATAAAAAATTACCCAAAGTAATATTGATTGTATACAGATAATAATAAATAATAATTCTGTAAGCAAGTGACAGAAAAAAAAAATTCTAAATAACTCAATAGCAATTTTTACTTTTATTTCAGATATATAGTATAGAAGGACTAATGTAATTTTATTAAATAAATAAAATAATTTACTTAATACTGACAATGAGGTAAGATTATAATAATTCTTATGAAGAAAATTGTACATTTAAAATTAGTATTTTTCCATGTATAATTATTATACATGCATATTGAATGTAATGTATAATATACCTAATCATTTAATTATTTCTAAATTATCCAATCATTCAAGATTAAATATTTATTATAGATTATTTTTAATTATATAATAAATACAATACTTACATTATGTTTTGAATTTTTCATTATAAAATACTTCAAATATATCATTTTTAGTTGGCCATATGTATCCATTTCCTAAAGGTTTATGAGCCGAAGGAAATATAATATGTCTCCAACCTCTAAAATAATAACAATAGAATATTAGGTTTTAGTAGTAAATGTTTAGTGCAGTGATTCTTATCCTTTTTTCATTCATGTCACCTTTAGCCACTAAAATAAAACACCGCGTCACCCTAACATCAAAATAATAAATAATCTTAACTGTGTATATTAGAATAATTCTTGAAACAACAAAAAAAAAAAAAAAAAATACAGTACACAGAAAAATAATAAATAAACCTACAATTTATTTGAGTTTCAGGCAGTGCCACGTTAAGCTATGTAGCCGCCTCGGGGCAAATTAAAATATGCTACCCTTAAGAAAATTACAATTCAAAATAAAAAATAATATATGTAATAGAAATAATATGTATTATAGTTATATAGTCATACAAGAAAAATTATAATTATATATTTTTTATTTTATGTTGATCCTCAAAAATTTGCCGCCCCATCAAACCATCATATTTACTACTTCGGGGCAGTTACGCCCTCATTAAACGGGGCTTTGGTTGCAGGGTTCAATAAACATTGTCAGTTAAAAGTTTAAATTTGCAATTTAAAAAAAAAAAAAAGGACAAAAAATAATAATGACATATATGAAAACTGATAAGAAATTGGGCCCTGGTGGTTTTCACAAAGTTAAAGAAGTCGAGAGCTGATGATGGAAAGACAGAGTCTCATATTGTCTTCCATAGTTGTAGAGCTATAACACTACATATCTAGCGACTGCAAAATAACTGACTAACGACCCCGGTTAAATCAATAAGATGATCGATAATGCAGTGATTTCACAAATTAAAATACTACATGTATTTATCGTATTGAAATAATATTAAGACATAAACTTATGCTATTTAATGAAAGTTGTGACAATAATATGATTTTATTAAAATTATATTTTTATTTTTTTCCTTTTCCCTTGGAGATTTTGTGTCACCCCGGTTGAGAACCACTGGTTAAGGGTTTTGAATATTGAAGCTCAATCACCTCAAACGCCTACTTATTTCAAATAAAAGATGAAATAATATTGCTACTATATATAGTACTATTATATTAAATAATGATGATTAAAATATATCATTGACTCATTAAATGGACGATATAAAAAAAAAAGTAATGAATATTATAGCAAAAAGACTATACCTAATAAAAACATATAAGATGAAAGCAAAAATAAAATACTTAGGTCCAACACATTTTCTTTATTAATCAGTATCTATGAACTTATTGGTTTTTTCTTAGTTTTATTGGGTTTATTGAAATTCAAAAAAAAAATGCTGATACTTACCTACCACTGTGAAGTCCAAGGAAGAGAATCCAATTCATTTTTATACCATAATCATACACATTAACATATTTAAAGTTAATGGCATTCAATCTATCAGTTTCAAATTTATTTATATGTCCTTCAATACTTGTTTCCCCAGAACTTATTAATACGCTATGCCATATGGTTAAAATAGCTAATGCAATAAATACTCCTAAAATTATTTAATGAATAAGATTTTAAATTAGTTGAATAATGATTAAAGTTTACCACATGTTATAAAAGTAATGACCATAATGCACCAAAACCTCCATTCAGCCACACGATCATAATCAAAATTGATATTTTCATATTCATCTTGAAATGTTAATACCCAATCTGTCTTAATATAAAAGAATCATATACATCAATTTTATATATATTTTTTAATGTTTTTAGTAACTAACTTTTGACAATGAAGTGTTGACTTTAACTGGATGTCCATCTGGATCTTCTTCTCTAAAGAATACTTCTTTGAAAACAATCTCAGCACCAAATATAATTATAAATAATGATCCAAATGTCATGTACATCATGTAGAGAAAAAAATAACGATGATTATAAAATCCAACACAATTATTTAACCAAGCTTTAAAAATTAGTTAAGAAAAATATAATAATAATAAATAAATAAAAGTTAAAAGTATAAATATAATATCATATAAAATTATATTCACTAAATTTTAACTAAAATTGATATTTTTGTTTAAAAAACATCATTCATTGAGAAATGCTGTTTAATATGGTAATTAAGCTAAAAATTGTGTACTAAAACAATTAACCTAGGGATCCCATGCGTCCCGTATATGAATAAAATGTCCTGGTGTCCTAACACAAGTATAAAAATAATACTTTTGTCCCGTATTTTGTAAAATCCATTTTGTATGTACCTTATTTTAAAAATTAAATTTTTTAATATCTTTAAGCTTTTTAAATTTTTTATTATTTTATTTTATATTTAAATGATAATTATTATTATTTGACTATAAGAAAAAAATAAAAATAGGAAAGGTCACCTAATTATTTATTTTTAATTTCATTATAATTTATATTTATTATAAGTATCAAATATTGTGTTTAACTTTATTTTATAATATATTTAGTAGCTGTGAGGAAAATGAAATATTACAATCAAGGCCAAGTGTAATTTTAGCTCCCAAATGTTTACAAAGTATTTGTACAACAAATATTACATATTTGATTTTGTAATATATTAATTGCTAACATAAGTTCCCTTACCCCCCCCCCCCAAATTAACACCAATGTGAATTTCAAAAATAGGTATGATTTAAAATGTCCCATATTTTTAAAAAATAAATCTGGGATCCCTAAATTAACCAAACTTAAAAAATGCATTAAAATTCATAAAGTATAACATGGAAATAAAATAATTGCTAAAATTGTGATTCATTATAATAAAGTCATTATTTAATATAAAGGATACGACAATGGTGATCCATTTTGAGAATACATTTGTTACAAACCGAACAATGATGTGTACGAGGTGGCTTAGGAGAATCACATTTCTTACAAATTACTTCATCATAATACATCAAACTTCTCTGTGAAATTCCAATTAGTTGATATTTGATTAAATTAATTTTTATTTATGAAGTATATATGAGTATTAAGTAATTATAATAGTTTACTGAAGCAGGAAAGCCAGGTGGTGTAGTAACTCCCATATAATAATGAAATATAACATTGACTAATAACCAATTTCCAAATATTAGTAAAAATATGGTTAAAAGCTTATTATTATTCCACCAATATGGTAAACCAATCCAATAAGCTATGACAACAACAAATGTTGTTAAAAAAATAACAAGGATAACCATTATCTAAAATTAAAAAAAAATATTCAAACATAGTGTAATTAATAATATTTTCATATTTTTATTAATTTGAACTTACTTGACCTAAAACTATGGTATACTTATCAACAAATTTAAATAAAGGGTCTAGTATTACATCACATGCACATTCAAGGTTTAAATTTTGAGAATATGCATAATTTTTTAAATACATCCATGTTTTATTAAATCTTGCTCTGAAATTAGCAAAATATTTATAAATATTAATAAATAATTAATGTTACAATCTATATTTTATTAAGATAATTTTGAATTCTTTGATTTATCATTTTGGTCAGAATATTATCTGTCAAGAGGATTGTGTAGATGTACCAATTAGTAAATTAACTTAACTTTGATACTTTATTTTTAACATAATGTAATACTAATTTATTATAGTCAGATTTTTACAAATATTGATTTTTCTATATTGATACCATTTAATAAACATAAAATAATGTAAAATAACTAAGCAAAATGGTAACAAGAAAAATATTTGTCATTATTTGTTGATCTGGAAGTTAGAAGTATAGTTGAAAGTATAGTTTAAGTCTAATTGTAAAAAAATGTATGACATGAATCAAAAATTGTATTGAATAATAAATTACTTCTAAAATCAACTTATGTCAACTGAAAATTACAGAATTCCTTTAATTTTATATACTTCTAAACTTGAAAAAATCTCCTCAAAACAAATAATCTAAAATAAGTAAATGTATATTTTTCCTTGTTTAAATACAATAACTTTAAATAGTATAACCATTTTATAATATAGTTGATGCTTAACGTAATTTATACCTAAAATACACGGGGCGGAACTAGGTAGTAGAAGAAGGGGATTCATTCACAGGTGTAACATTTTAGAGGGTGTAATTTTTGTAATTACTAACAAATAATTTGATATTTTTAACTTTGTTAAATGCTGATATTAGGTTAAAACTCAATAAGTATAATTTTATATTAATAATTAGAAAAAAAATTCTCGAGAAGAGTATTTGATTATTGGTCTATGATAGGGCATAATTTTAACATTTTCCCAGGGTGTAAAAATTCCTAGTTCCACCTCTGCTTAAATGATTATATTAAATTAAGACTCAAAAAAGCTCATAACATAATACATAATTATTAGAACACATTGTATAAACTTACATTGTTAGTCTTAAAATAGACATATTAATTAATGATAAATTAATAATATTAATATTATATCGTTAATGTTTGGTAAGCTTATAAAGTATTAAAAACGGAAATTATTAAATTTTCAAATTCAAATTTTTATTTACAATAATATCATGATTCTATTATCAGTAGCAGTAACACAGCATCACTAAATATAGTATAATATTTAGCAATCAGCTACGGACTAAATATCATAGAATAAATTGTTTTAAAAACTTATGTATTTTGTAAGACGTAAACCATGAATACCAAAGATTCTTATCTTCGTGGAATAAACCATATATTTTTCTTATCAAATTTAAAAGGCGCACTTACCATTTAAATGAGAATATAGATAAAAAAACCATTCAAAAATTGTTCTAAATCTTAACATTCATTTACAACTATGTCTAATATATACCTTAGAAATTACTGATATTTGTTAAAAATTCACAGTTTTAGTAATCATGAATAGTAATTTTCGAGTAAAAATAATCTGGTGTTTTATTTTCTTAAATTTATAGTTTTGACATAAAATGAACTTTAAAACAAGAGTAGTTAAATGTACTGATAAACAACTTTCTATTTTTTGGTTCAAAGGTGAAAGTAGATATTTGATTTTATATTCTTATACATATTAACACTATTTATTATGTAACATATGTCAGTTGTAAATTTATGATTTTATTATTTTATTGTGTTATTCTTCTGGAAAACCAAGTATTTTATTTTATTTGGGTTGAACAATTTTTTTCATTTATATGGCATCCAATAGCTCTCAAAATGTTACTGGATATGTCGTGTTTATTTCATTATTGTTTGATTTATTGGCGTTTACTATGATACTACCACTTTTCCCGTCATTATTAGATTATTACAAACAAAATGATTCTGATGGATTATATCAATGGTTGGAAAAACACATAAGTGTTTTTCAGAAAATAATTGGTGTACCAGATAGGTTTAATGGAGTTTTATTTGGTGGTAAGTTTCTAAGTTTTATTTTAGTTAAATATTTTTAAACAATACTTGATAAATTATATTTGCTAATAGGTATACTAGGCTCATTGTTTTCATTTTTACAATTTGCTTCTTCACCTATTCTCGGCGGTATAAGTGATGTTTATGGGCGTAAGCCAGTTATGATAATATGTTTAGTAAGTAAACTTTTAATTTTACCTATATAAATCTATAATGTTTATAATTAAAAAAATTAATTTTAGATTGGCATATTATCTTCGTACATAATTTGGTCAAAAGCAACAACATTTTCTCTATTTGTTTGGTCACGTATTATTGGTGGACTTAGTAAAGGTAATGTTAGTTTATCAATGGCTATAGTTACAGATGTGTATGTTCCAGAAAAACGTGGAAGAGGAATGGTAAATATATATTTTTGTTAGTTTTTGACATCCTTATTTAGTAGTTGTTTAAAGTAAAAATGTATTTAATTTAAATTGATAACACACATATATGTGTATATTCAGTGTTTGTCCAGTTCCTTATAAAAAGAAACCCGTTTTGTTCCTCGTTCTTTTTATTAAAAAAAAGGAACTCATTCAGTTCCTCATTATTTTTTTTATAAAAAGGAATTTGTTAAATGTGTCATTCTTTAAAAAGGAATCCATACCTAGGAACTTGTTTCTTTCAATTACTGTATATATTATAGGGTCATATTTAGTATTTAGATTGTTAAAGGTTTGAATTATATTATGGTATGTTTAAAATAGATATAAATATTGAAAGAAATAAATTAGAATTTTTTTTTCTTTAAATTATTGGTTATTTTGCAAATAAATTAATAAATTGTAAGATATAAACATGTACAGTGTCGCAAATAGGGGTGGGGTTTGGGGGTTGTAACCTCTTCCAAATTTTTTTTGAGATTTTTACATTAATAATGTAGAATTCTACATAGGAAATTTTTTTTTTATCTTGAACTCGCGAAATGGCTGATTGATATGAAATATGAATATTATTCGTATTATAATTGATAACAATAATAATATAACAATATGGAACGGTTTGTAATGTTCCGTTCAATTCTAAAACATCAATAACCTTGCTATTATGATTTCTTGTTAGTCGATTGTATAATAATTTTTTTTGGTATCACAATATGAAATAGAAGTTAAACAGTCTAATTTGTAATTTCAATATTTTACTTATAAACCTAACTTAATCTTACTTCCTTATCCCTACCAAACACCTGCAGAAAATACTTATTTTTTTTCCAAATTCACAACTCCCCCCCCCCCCCAAAAAAAAAACCAATCCTGGTTGCACCACTGAATATGGATACCTATTACCTTTATTGTATTAATATTTTCTGTGTATTTTTTAGGCAATGATTGGAATAGCTTTTTCAGTAGGATTTGTATTTGGCCCTATGATAGGAGCAGCTTATGCTAAATGGTCTCATAGTCAAGAAGGGGATTGGTTTGTACAACCCGCCTTATTAGCTGTCATTTTAACCATAATCAATATAATTTTTGTATTTTTTGCATTTAATGAATCACTTCCAAAAGTAATATTTTTTTATTTAAAATAAATATTGTTTAGTATATATTTTTATTTAGGTTTTAATATTTATAGAGAAATCGAGCTCTATCTGTTGTTGGAAAATTATCAGAAGCTTTTACATACATAAATATAATAGATTTATTCAAATTTAAATTGTTAATTGGTATTGTCCCATCTGAAGGTAATATATATTAATTTACACTTTGTGTTTGATAACATTATTTTTACTAACAATTACATAATGTTATATCATTTTAGATGTTAAGAAGTTACGTTCTTTGGGTAGTATCTACTTTATGTATTTATTTTTATATTCTGGTTTGGAATTCACATTAACATTTTTGACACATAATAAATTTGGATATACTTCAATGCAACAAGGTTGGATGTTTTTCGGTATTGGTGTTACCATGGCTTTATTACAAGGTGGATGGGTTCGAAAAATACCTCCATCACGTACAGCAAAAACTGCAACTTTGGTAATACTGATTTTCAGAGAAGTACAAGAAGTAGTATACAGTTAAATTAATTTTATTTACATTTTTTAGGGCCTTTTGTTAATCTCTCCATCATTTATATGCATTGGAATGGCTGAATCTCCTCCACTTTTAATACTTGGTTTATTTCTTTATGCAGTTTGTATGAAATTAATTAAATCTATTTATAACATACCAGCTTTTTTATACTTTGTTGTCTTTTTATTTTTCAGCTACTTCTATTGTAGTACCATGTATGACTACATTAGCATCACATTATGGATCTGATGCGCACAAAGGCAAAGCAATGGGTACATTTCGTTCTTTAGGAGCTTTAGCTAGGGCAATTGGACCGGTTTTTGCTTCAATATGTTAGTTTTCATAAATTTATAATATTTTTTAATTATATTATTTAATTTGTTTTATAGACTCTGCGTTTTATTTATTTATTTGTATTTCAGTATATTGGTCAGTCGGTCCAAAGATAACATATTTTATTGGAGGTACTTTATTGTTATTGCCTTGGTTTTTATTGAAGAAGACTTTGAAAGACACTAAAGAAAAAAAATAATTTATATGATATTAAAGAAAAAAAATTTCATCTATAATAAATTTAATGCAATATTTATTTATGTTAAAATTAGCAAAAGAATACTATACTTTATGGTAAACATCTATGAACGATAAATGTTAATTATAATGTTCGAAAATTATTGAAGTATATAAAGTATAAAATGTATAATTAATGTATTTATTATTATTAATTTTATAGCTCCTCAGTTTTATAAGGATTTGGTTTATTTTATCTTACACCAGATAGTGAACATATTATAATTTATTATAGACTTATTAGTTCTATTTTAGTATGTAATAAAATCAGAAATACATTGCAAAACAATTTTTTATATTTTTAATTACATTATTTAATTATAGTGATTATAGGTCACATGTATTCATAGTAACAATGTAAATAGCATGTTGATTGACTACTGAGGTCAATATGAACATATAATGTATAAAATATAGTAAATAAAAGTAAAGTTAAGGAAAATGTACAATAGTTTGAAATCAGATTATCATAGAATTGCTGAATTTGGAAAATTAATTATCTGGTAATAATGCATTTTGTTTTTTGGCCAATGTTATAAAATTTATCAATTAGCCTACAAACCTAACTAAATAATTTCTGTAACTATCAATCAATATAAAGACATAAAAAAATTAAAAATGTAATTTTAAGATAATGCAAATTTAAATATAAGTGATAATTTCTAATTTCAATCAGTTTTAATCATCTAAATACATTTTTAAATGTATTAATACTTATTTTATATAATTTTAAATAAAAATAATTTATGTTTATTATTTAAGTTAAACATAAATTATATTTCATATTTAAAAATAACTAATACTTATTAAAATATTTATAATTTAGTATAAAATAATTTATTTAAATAACTCACAATATATTTTTAAAAACCTCTTAACATACGAGTATATATATTTATAAATAATACACAAAATAATATTTTAAAACATATCAAAACACTTTTATTGGTAAACCACTTCCTACTTAATTATTAAAATTATTACATATATTTTTCTATAAAATATTTATGTTCATAAATTTATTGCATACCAGTGTAATATTTTTGATATATGCTATATATGCATTGATAAAATAGCTTAACCAAATCATTAGTAACTAAACTTTGAAAACTAATACTTGCATTTTTAAAAATTGGTGTAATAATAATGTAAAATAGTATATTTTCTGATTATTATTAGTTATTATATTTAAACATGTAATGTTTTTTAAATGTATACAACTACGCAATTAAGACAAAGTTTAAAAGCAATAATTTAATTTTAATTATTATAGTATTAAGTATATAAGTAATTATTATAGAATTAGAATATAATAATAGTATGAAATATTAATTAACTACTATATATATTTTATATTAAATTGTAATGAGACTGTGATGTAATGTAAAATAAAATATATTTTTATAAATTTATATTTTAAATATTTATATTTATTAAAAACTATCACAGTATAATAAGACACTTTTAAATTAATCTATTTTAAGTAAAAATTATATTATACATTTTTTATGTATTTTGCACTAATTAATTGAATGAACATTTGAGCACAGAATAGATATATATCTACTCAGTTTCTAGAATAAGGATGCTATACTGTTTTATTAAGAATTAAATCAACATTTATTATAGGATTAATAGTTATGAAATCAGATAAAAGTTTCATAATTTTAAAATTGGAACTTTTATGAAACTGTATTAAAAATAAAGAAATTATAATATTATATTAAGGCTAAAAAGTATCAAAGGACATTGATTTTTTACTTATTATATATTTTAATCATTAATAAAATAATAACATAGTGTTAATATGAAAATTCCTGGGAATAATTTTAACTAAGATAACAAATTTATAATAAACAAAAAGATTTACTTAGATGATTTTTTTTTAATTTTTCTTCTATTAATTTTAGTTGTAACCTTTATGAAAAAAATTCAAAATTTAAATTATGGGCTATTTTTAGTGTTAAATTATTTTTGCAATACTTGCATTTTATAATTGCAAAAAAAAATGTTGAACAGCATTGATACACAAAATTAATTTTTAACATCCTTACTAAATAATTCATTGTTTATGAGTAATTTTTATGGTTATCTTTTATCATCATAAAGTGATGATATTGATCCATATGACATGTTAAATCCAGGTGGTTCTTCAAATTGCATACTAATTGGATGATTAGAATTATCTCCATCATTTATATCAAATGGGAGGATCGCATGCTGAACTTGACTATCTGGTGTTACACCCATAATTGAATACAATTCTTTCAAGACTAACAAAATTGTATCTTGTGATTCCCTAAAAAACAAATGTTGAAAATATTTTATTCCCATTTTGTAATTTTATATAGCATGTTTTTTTAATGACAAAAAAAAATAGCTTCTAATATTTTAGATAAATAGTATTGAATAATAGTAGATTTAATAAAATATGTAAGAATAGTAATTTATATGAGCAAAGAACTACCATTTTAAAAACTACATGTTAATGATTAAACTCAATCAAACTATAATTTGGCATCAGTCTTACAAATTTTTAAAATTATTACATTTGATGATATTTATAATTAATTCCGTAAACCTAGTCAATATTATAATTGTATATGTGTAAGAACAAATTTTTCTTTTTAAAAAAGGTTATTTATGAAAATATATATATTTTTAAATATTTTAATGTTTTTTTCTCACTTAAATTATCCACATATTTATGACTATATCTTTCAATTATTATTTATCTAAATTTGAAGATAAACTTTAGTTATTTAAATTTATGAATTTATCAAGCTTGTAAAATTACTTTATATATATAATCAACTAATACATACCAATAACATAAATGACTGACTCCAGCAAATAAATATTCATTAAAACTTTCTATTGGAGCTTCTTGCAAGACATGGTCAATTCTATTTCCTTTATTTAAAATACCAGGTTTATTGTCAATTCCTTGAGAAGTTTCAGGATTTGAATTACTTGTAATATCTCCTTGAGATTGTGGTTTATCTAATTTCTTAAGAAAATCATAACTCTTAAATATATAGTAGATGCCAATTAGTTAGGGCAACTACAATTTAAGGACAATTTTTCAATTAACAAAATAAACTAAAAATTGCAGTGTAAATTTCACTATGTATTTAGGTTACAAAACTCGACAATTTATATAATTTCAACTTATCAGATTTTGTGAGTAGTACAAAAAAAAAAAAAAAATTGGTGATTGAAAAAAATAAGAAACCTTATTATTTTCAATAAATTACTTTATAAAAATTACCAATTGAGTAGGTATCATTCAAATAAAAATGTATGGGTGAGCTACTTTCATTGAATTATTGCAGCGTTGGGGTAGGAATTTGGATAAAATAGAATAATAAATGTGATAAATATACTTAACACCTTAATATCCTAATAAGTAAATGATGGAATCACCTCAGTGATTAATATGTCTGTTCAGACTATATTCTTCAACAATAAGTGAAAAATAATATGTTAATTCAATAGTAATTGATAATTTATTTGTTTCTAAAAACTAAAAAAATAAATTTTTCTTTGACTATTTGTTTTTGTATAATGTTTTTTAATTATTTATTTAATAATTCATTGCATATTAATACTTATATATTTTTTATTAAATTTATTAAAAAATAAAATAATTTTTTTCATTCCATTATTTTCTAGAGTATATAATAAACAATTAAAATAATTACCTAAATACTCCTATAATTCATTCAATTATTAATTCTATCAACTCCCTGTTTCCAAATATAGATATTTATTACATAGTTATGGTTTTATTTTAGTGAATTAATATTATAATTTATCTGTTTTACTATAATGTTTTTGAGAAGAAAAAAAAACCAAAAAAATTAATAAAACCATATGTATTTATATAATTGCAAATAACTTTTAAAATGTCATAAAATATTTAATAAAAAATATACTTCAGCAAATTTTAGTAAACTACAAATTGTTACATTAATTACTTAACTAAAACTTGTAGCATAGTTGGTGTTCAATAAAAGAGGGGGCATTGTTACACATCAACAATTTTGTGGAAAAAAGTAAATAGTTATAATATTTTTTTTATAATTATTTTCTTCTCATATGAATATTTTTCTAACTTTTTGATAAAAAATAGATTATATATATTATTATATTAGAAAATATATACATACATACATGGATTGTTTAAAAAATTAAAAAAATATATTTACAAGAATTTTCAAAGTACAATAGATATTTTATCTTTTACAAATTGATCTACGATTAATTGGATGTTCACTTATATAAAATGTTTATTTAATTATACCAAACTAGTTCTAAGGAAGGGATGATCCACCCATGGCTCCCCCCTCAGCTATGCCATAGACTAACATAGATATAAAATACATAGTGAAAATACTTACTTCACTAGAGCCATATTCTATTGAATGTCCTGAAGTTACTTTAGTAAACATAGCTAACTGGTAAACAGTATTCCAAGTATTCTTTACAGAATTAAAAAGATGAGTTTTCAGAGCAGCTCCAACATGTGCCATAGTATCTTTTAGTTCTATAATAATATAATATTTTATTAAACAAAATATTCATAAATAAGAATAAACATACAATTACCTAAATGCATTCTTTTACGGCCTTTGTGATGTGGTACTTGAAAAGGTGGTATATTTTCAAAAGTAGCATTGATTAATGGTTCAATTCGATAAGCAATTGGGTCATATGGATGAAAAATATTTAGAAATCCTGGGCAAGTTGGAAATTTAAAACTATCTCCTAAACTTTCTATTCCTCGAACTGTTACAAACATACCTGAATGAAATTAATAATTAAAAATATTAACTATTATGATATTAATAATTAGTTAATTTAAATATAACTAAAAAAAAACCATTATAAAAAATAGTACGAGATATTAGTATATAAGAAGAATTATTTTAATCTACTTGTAAAAATGTATTCCAAAAATATTTTTTATTGCTTTGAGAATAATTTGCTTATATTCCAGGTCATAATCAAGACCAAAGCAGAATAAAAAACCTACCAATTGATAAAAATCTCATAAGGGGACTTTTATTAGCTAAGAAATTTGTAAAAATAATCAAAAATTTTTAACTGAAATTAAACTAGTTCTTAAAAATTATATTAGTATAATCAGTATTCAATTAGTGAAATTAATAAAATCCAAAAAATATTGATTGAAAAATTTCAATTTGAATAATTAATTTAAAATTAACAATACACTATTAATAATTAATGGATGTATTAAGAGCCATTATAAATAAACAACTCGTGGAAATTAAATTTCCCTCTAACCCTCAGAATAATAATAACCACAATGAAATACATTGTACAGTAAAAATAAATTAATTTTTTACAAATTGTTGGAATTTAATTATTAAATAATTACCAATAGGTGATCCAAAACCAAAAAAATAATCAAGTTGAAACTTGAGCTGGGGATATGTAATGTATGGTTGCCCTGTACCAGCTTTTCCTAATGTTACATATGATTCCCCACGACTTAACTTGGCTTTTTGTTCATTAATTGTTGGAACTACTGGTGATTCCTAAAATAAACAGTAAAATGTATTACTGAAGTTATATAAATATATATATAAAAAAAAAAATTAATAACATTAAACATTACAAATAAATAAGTTAGGCTACAACTGTTAAATGATATAATTAGGGTTCGAAAATTATAGGAGTTGCATATTGTTCAGTATGCTCTCGATTTATAGCAAACCTAGATAAAAATCCAAATTATACCAAGTTGAGTTTAAAAATTGAAAATTAAAAATGCATATTTTGCATATTTCGTTAATTTTTGAGAAAAAGTACATATTTCGCCGATTTTCGCATATTTGTATGCATATTTAATGTATTCTAAAAAAATTAACATTTTTCATTCTTAACCGATTTATTTTAAATAATGTTACATAACACAACGCTAATAACGCGGAAATCGTGCATCATAGAAAACTCAATATTATTTTTCGTGGTTATTTATTGTTATTTTTTAATACTAACGAAAATATTGATGGTTCAATGCAATAACTTAACAGGTATTATACAACATATATTTATTTCGTATTCCACAAATTACGAAAATATATTTGTTTAACTATTTTTTCATTTCAATAAAATCTCAAACACCAACTGATTATGCGCCATATTTTAATTTTCAATAATACAATTTTTATAATTATAGGTTTTTAAAATTTACTAATTAACTTTTAATAAATAAATAAATATTTGTTTTTTTGCATATTTCTTATTTTTCCATGCATATTTTATCATTTTTTCGTGCATATTTTGCCTTTTTTGGATCCTATAACTTCCGAACCCTAGATATAAAAAATAATATAGTAGTAGAATAGTGGTAATTATTACATTATACAATTGTAGAATGCACACTTTCTAATTTCTGTAGATTTTTTTAAATTAACTAAAATTAATTCTTTGTAATATAGTTCAAACTTCATAGTTAACATTTTTTAACATTCAAATAATTTTGACAGTTAAATTAATGTACACTCAATAATTAAATTTAACAAATTTTTTACATAACTCATTAAAATAATACAACATTACATATATATTTGAAATATATTTACAAAAAACCAATAACACTTAAAAACAATTTAAATTACATGAATTTATTTATAATTGAAAACAAGTTCTATTTTTTAATGATTAAAGAATATAAATACACATTATCACAATACACAGCTTAATAGGTTATTAAAGTCCAATGCTACCATTACAAACTTATTCCATTCTTCCCACTCAAATATTTATCCCATTTTGTGGTATTGTTGAATTAGAAATACATGAATTATTGTAATTGATAAGTAAATAAACATATAAAATAAAAAGTATAAAATTTAGGTTCAAACTATTGATCATCCATGATATATAAACTTAAAGTTTTTTTATTATAAGACTAAATCATGAAAAATAATCAATTAAAATAAAATAACTATATATTTTCAAACATGCAACAAATTTTAACCACATAGTGAATAAAGTGAAAAATTTCTAATACAGCAATAGAAATTAAAAACTTACAGAATGTACTGTTGAATTAGGGGTTTGTTGATTACATAGTAGATCAAATGAAATTAATGATCCAAGACTATGACCACCTATTGAAACATGCCCATTAAAATTGGGATTTCTTAATAAATACAAGCCATACATGCGATTCATTTCATTTCCCACGGCATTTATTATAGTCTAAAATAAAATATAGGAATAATTATTTTATTTTATACATATTTCCTTAAAAATAACTAACTTGACAAAATGTAGGACTAGTATAAAACAAAACATCTAATATTGTGTCATTGTTAAATTGCCTGAGCTTAGGGATAGACGGTAAAGTAATACTTTTAAGCTTGCAATCAATATTTTCGGTATGTAAAGCAAAATGCCATGACACAGGTAATACTTCAATTCTACCAATTTTTTCTGTTTGACAAGCTGTTTTGAAATGAGATTGCGTTAATTGAAGAGCCAAACTTCGAAAATCATCCACTAAAAATAAATAAAATTTAGAATTTAACTCTTGATATTTTTATTATTTCACATTTTTATTTTCAAAAAATTTAATTTTATATATTTCTAATATTTATAGACTTTTAACTACATTAATTTTACTGTTCACTGAATAAAAATACATACCAACTTCATAAATTGGTCTCATTTTTAAATCACAATAGGACCCAATGCCATGAATCATAAATAATAAATGGTCCACTTTTGATGGCTCATCTCTAGGAATTTCAAATTCTTCAAATCCTCGCTTTACTATGCATTGTTTTAATGAAGACTGTAAATTATTATTAAACATTGAATATAAAAATATAATAGTTTCAAAGTGTATTCATAATTTTACATTTGTTTGATCTATCTGTTGATAAATTTGAGTTTCATCACTATTATTTAAAAGTGTTATAGATATTCCACTATGTGTTATAGCAGTAGGACTATGTAAAATAACTTCTTCATAATCACCAACTGGAATTCTGCGTCCCCATTCATTAGTTACCCATGCTGCTTTATATTCTACCTAAGTATAAACACTAATTAAATAATTACAAATTAGATATTAACAGTGAATTAAAATTCTTTATTACTTCTAAAATTGAAGCTATTATTTCTTCATATGGAATAAAATTAAAACCACTTCGATTACGAAGAAACCATGAACACCGCCGTACACTATTTGGTTTATCAGACCAATAAACAGGTTTACGAATTCTTTGATTTAAGTAAACGTCAAATCGACTTCCATCTGTTGGTATTATAGATTCATTACATTGATCATCTAAAAATGTATAATCAAATATAATTTAAATATCAGTCTCCTTTTGCAAAATTTATTTTATGAGATTTAAATAACATAAACTATTTCTGTCTTGACAATTATAATTAATATATGATTATTCGGTTAGTAAAAAAAGATAATAGGGGTTTTTTTTCTTCAGGCGGTCGTTCCGCAATCAGAAAGATGCCAACCGTAAATTTTGCATTGAAACACAGCCACCTTTCACACTCGGACACAATGTCACCCAACCTATAATTTAATAACTATATTCTTACTGGACGTAAAAGCTAATTCAATAGCATCTGAATCTTTTTGGCTAAATGGAATCCAAATATTTTTATCAGGATATTTGCAATAGAACCAATGCCACTTTATAGGTTCATATTCATATAATAATAAATCCTATAGTTTTATAAATAATATTATTATACATTCAATAATAGTATTAAAAATAATTTTTTTCATCTTACTTCTGAACGAGATGTAGAAAAATTTTCTTTAGTATCCATAGTTTTCTTTATCATAGGTTTATTTGATGACAAATTCGAGGTTTCCATAATTATTAAACTATTTAGAGAACTTGAAACATTTTCAGATGAAAAATCAATATTTTCTATTAAAAAATGTATGTCAAATTGTAATTTGTAATAATTAACTTTTGCTTATAAAAAATGAAATTTGTGATTACCTTTAGATGGTATGATGCTTGGTTGACTAGTTTCTAAAGATGCTTTTGGTGGTAAAACATAAGAATTATATTCATCAATATTAGAAAATCCGTAATTACTATTTAAGTGTAGTTTAAGTTGTTCATTTGCAGTTTTTAAACATGGAGATAGGGATTCTTTAAATTTGTCTTCACTTATATTTTGTTGTAATAGTGAAAATGTTGAGGATTCTTGGAAGTGGTTAGTAATAATCTTATCTAAAACAACAATAAAATGTTTAGTTAATTTTTATTATACAGGAAAAACACACATAGGAAACCTATCCTTCAAAAATAAATATTTAAAATAGATAACAATTATTAGTAATATAATATATAAATTAAAGTAAGTAAAAAACTTCTTTAATAGGTATTGATCCTTCTGTACTATATCATCATGCATTTAAATTTAAATTTGTTTTTACTGAACTCTATTGTTGTGTGCATTGTTGGTACTAACATTACTATCTTAACGGATTGGAAAAAGACCACTTTGCAATGTATGAACAACTATTTTGAAAATACAAGATATTTGGCAAATTATGATACTAATGTAACAATATTAGGATTGGACGATAAAGAAGGTATGTTACTTAATATATTTGTAGGCAATTATTAATTAAAAATATTAAATATTAATTTTTTTATTTGCAAATAGTATAAAATAAGGTTATATATAATCTTAATATATATATCTTAGTCTTAATTTTTTTCATCAAAATGCATTTTGTAAATTGACGATTGTAAGTTTATTTATGTTCAAATTTAAAAGGATGTAGTATTAATAATTTACAGTTTACAATTAACCATGTACTTAAAAATTACTGCCTTGTACAAATAAATAAAATAGTATATAAATTATAAAAAAAATTAATAATAAATAATTCATTAAATTTTAATTTGATGTAAAATTTAACAAAATAATAAGAAAATATAACAGTTAAAGGTTTTTTTAAATTTATTTAAATTATAGAAGATATTCAAACTCATACTTAAATTATTATTTGTTCCTAATCTTCATTAAATTATTATTATTATATACCTATATATATTTAAAAAAAAATTATAATGTAATAAATAATTTATAAAACTTGACAATTATAAAATAATGTAAAAAATATAATGTTAAAATATTATTTTTAACAAAATGTATTAAAACTATTTAAGTTATATGGTTATGGAGAATTTTGTACAATAGAAACTAGGGAAGAAATTTCTTTACATCAATAATGTATTTTTTAAAAACATTAAAACGTTTGTTTATCACATTTATAAACTATATTTATAAAATATTTTTTGTAATTTTTTATTCTTATTTTTAAATAAAAGTTATTCCTTTAATTTTTATCGAACATTTTTGTAGTACAAAACTTTAAATTCAGTATTATTAGTTAAATTTATTCAGTTGTATTATTTAAAATAACCAATTATAATACTAATATTATAAATCATGTAAATTGTAAAATTTCTATTTAGTTTTCATAAAAGAAAAAAAGAAATAAATTAAAATTATTCATCTTTTAAAAAGCATTTGAATTAAATTAAATTACAGATTAAAATTAAAATAATTTACATAAAAATTATAAAAAAGTTCAAAAACCCAAGTCACATTTGTTTTCCAAATTCAATGTATTAACCTAGCAACTACTGCATTATCTTCTGAATTACTCATTTTATGTATGAATAATAGTATCAATTATTATAAAAATATTACTATATTAATATTGGATAAAAAAAAGCGTTTGATAAAACACACTCAATATGCAGGGGTGGATCTAGGTGAAATTGGGGAAGTTAGTTGACCCACAGTTAATATTTAAAAACAAAATTGGCCTCTTGAAGACTTCTTATATTTTTAAAGTGTTCCAACTACAGGTTTAAGTTAATACTAGACTGGGGTAAATGTCCCATTTTCTACCCTCTAAATGATGCCACTGGTTTAATTGTATAATACAGTAAAACATCTCTATCCCATGTAAAACCAAATCCTCGATAAAATAAAATAAATGTTAATGTTTTTAATGATAATTATGAATATACTTAAGAACACATAGTATATGATCATATTATGTTTTTTTGTTAAAAGGTATACATTTATAACCCAGTTTCAGTCCTAATAAGTGGTTTCTTGAAATAGTCTGACCCACAGTTTTCTAATTATGGATCCACCCTTGTTCCAATCGTGTCAGTCGACTAACCTACGCATCTTAAAGTTAGTTAGGACAAGTTGAAAATTGAACTTGTAGGTTGACCTTGTCAATCGGAACCATTGAATATAGTGTGGACGCGGTTTAATAACATACAATTCTCGGTGTAATTCGTATTTAACTCATTAAAGGCTTAATGAATTGAATATTTAATTAATAAAATTTTAATTATTTAATGATAGACAATTAACACATTGATTACTATGAAATTCCTAATGAGATCTCAACGACCTTGGGTTTGTTTATAAAGGTTTACCCTGATAATTTTTGAAAGAAACAATTGTAATTGTAATTGTAAATATATTATAAATACATATATATATTATAAATATGTAGATCATATGTATGCCATTAAATCATTTAAAAAAATGGACGACTATCAATATTAAATACATCGAATAAATATTGAAATATAAAAATTACCACAAAAATATAAATTATAATTTATTATATATAATCATATAATATAATATAATATAATTTAAAATTATATTACAAAACTGTATAAAATTAACAAAAATATTTCCGCGCAGCAAAAAGTTTTAGTTGCGTCACTGTAACATCAATTAGTTTTGATTAATTCATGCATTCAGCAAAATAAAGTATAGGTACCTGAATCATAAATTCAGTGAAATATGTATATATATATACATTATGTATAAATATATTAATTTTTATCTAATAACGTATCAAATATAAATAAAAATAAGTATTTTGTACCGATTAGTTTTACATTTTAGAAAATGAACGATAAATAGTGAATAAAATTAAAATAATTATATTTAATTTTCTAAATTATTTTTTTTACTGGTACATATATCTTTAAAATTTTAAAATGTAATGGTAAATAATTTAAAAAAATAAAATGTCTAAACTAAACCCATTAATTTAATTTTAAATAATTTGTGTTAAATATACATTTACAATAAAATTATAAATGGTATTTAAAATTTACTATATAGTATATTTATATTTAAGGAGACTATAAATAAAATAAACGTATCATTAAGAAAAAACAGTATGTAATTGATTGCATTCTACTCTTCATATTTAATGTGTTATATTCCCAAATACCATAGTGTATATTTTATGATAACATAATTTCCTGTTTTGATGAGTAACTTTAGGCTTTAATGATAGATTGTAAACTATTTTTGTTTACAAAATCGGAAGAATCAACTTATATAATAAGTGTGATAATATGCAATATATTACTCCCATGACATGGGTTATTCTTTTATCATTTTTTGTTAAATAAATTAACTAAAAATATAATTCTAAAGGAATGGATTTCCTGTTTACAGAAAGTATGGTTCATAATGTAGTTCTAAGAAATATTAACGATTTTATGTCTCAATATCATACACCTGATTATCTACCACAAGAACAAGGTCAAAAGTATTATTCTAAATTAATACATACTCAAAATCATTCAAAGAATAAATATTTACTATTTGGAGAAAAGTCAACGTTTAATAATTTAGATTTTTTTCAACAAAATCACAAAAATGTAACTTTTATAATAAAATAAATATTAAAAAAAAATTTTAGTCGGTTTAATAATAAATACATATTTTTCAGGTAGAAATTGTTTGGTGTATAAATGGTGAATGTGAAAATTGCATAAGTCAAAAACCTGTAGCTTTAGCAATCGTGAATAAAATTCCAGAAACTATAAACATTGATTTTGATGAACAAAGTGAATCAAAAAGTAATTAAACTTAAACAAGTATTTTTGAGTATAGAAAAGGTATCAAACATTCTATGTTGCAGTACAGAAATCAATATTATTATTAGACACTAGTCATACTTATTGATTATTATAATTTATTATTATATTACGTTTTCTCATTGTTGCTTATTAGATTGGTACTACATTTTCTCGAGAAATAAATATTTGTTGACCTTTAAAATGTGATAGCATCAATCAATGTATAAAATTATTTACCATATTAAATATTATAGATATATTATATATAAATATGTAATTTATAACTGTTGTGTAAGATTGAATGCGTCATAATTTTATAATTGTATTTAAAATTAAAATAAACTTGAAGATTAGTTAAACTTAATTTTTCATTAAATAGGTACCTACCTAAAATTTAACTAAAACAGCACAAAACTATAGTTCATGTTAATAATTTAAATTGGATTATTTAGTTTTTTTCTGATATCTATAATAAAATTATATAATAAATATAACAGAGTAAAATTAAATTTCCATTTACTTATTAATTTTATAAATTCAATTTTTTTATTTAAATTTTTATATTTTTTAAATAAATGGGTAGGATGTATCTTTTTAGTTTTAAAATAATAGTAAATCATCAAGTTCAAAAGTATATTTTTCATAAGTATATTTTTATAAAAATAGTTAATTTAATTGACTACATACCATTTTACTATCTAGCAAAACATTTTGATTGTTTCAAAAGATTTTGAAATATTTTAAATTTATTTTAAATATTAATAAAAGTACCTATTAATACATTGTTCTCAATTAGTACTCAAGTACTTACGAGGATTGCAAGCCATAATTTTCTTTCTCTTTCTATCATACGCGCAATATAGGAGTTTAGATGTTTTCTATTTCTAACCTACCCCGATCGATCTATTAGGGCGATAAGGATTTTGAAAAATGATTTAAATTTTTTGTAAAGTCTTCTTAATATCAACTTTATCACATTTTTTAATTCCTATTTAGTGAAATTTTGGGAGACAAAATAAAAAATTGGGAAAGTCGATCTAAAGAAGACTTTATGACAAATTTTAAATCACTTTTCAAAAGCCTTATCGTATCAACAGGCGATCATATGTTGGAAATATAAAAGGTCTAAACTCCTATATTATGCGTGTGATAGAAAGAGAAAAAAAATCATGGCTTGCAAACCCCTTAATTATAGTTTGAACTGTACCGAACAAAAAAAATATTGACAAAAAAAACCAAATCATTATAATTTTGAAAATTAATATTTAGAATTAATTGTTAGCCTTGCACTAAGTTGGAAAATTTTTGAAAACAATTACCAATGCAGTATAAATATTATTTTAAAGTTGATATTAAAAAAAACAATACTTCAATATTTATTCAAACTTTAAAAGAATACAAAGAAAAATAAATTAAGTAGTAACACCTATATTATAATTTAAAAACTAATATGAAGAACTGTAATAAGATTTATAGATCTTAAAAATGACAAATTCTAATTTAATAGATCTGGTTTAATTATGTTTTCTTAGCATATAAATTTGATAACTGTATTAAGTTTAAAATAAAATTCAGCATTTTTAAAAAAAAATTTATATTAACTTGATTTTATGAAATTAATTAGTCTGTATTCTTCTCTAGCCACATAAACTTATTGTGCTCCTAAGGTATAGATTGTTTATTTCAAATAAAAACAAAAAATAAATAAATAAATATTAATTTGTTTAAATATATTCAAAAATTAATAGTTTATCACTATTTTTGCCTGAAAAAAAATTCAACAACTTTCTGACAGTCGAGTATCAAAAACAAATATTAATGATTAAGAAATTAAGGTTGCATTTATAAATTATAACAGTACATAAATAATAGTTGAATACATTTATCTATTGTAATTTTAATAAGTATAAATAACTTATCAAGTATATTTTAAAAAATGTGTTATATTATATTATTGATTTATAATCAATACCTAGTTAATTATGAACAAGAAGTAACAATTGTATATTTATTATTTTAACATTTACTTACTTGATATTGTATTTATCTTAGAAATATGTTTATACTAAATTTCTATTATACTTGACACAACTTTAGAAAAATAATTTTGCTAAACATTTATAAATAAAAATTTACATACCTTATCAGAATAACGAAGTGGTAAACATTACTCAGCAGACTGAGAAAATTCAAAACATAATTTATCTTTTATAACAAACGCCTAAATTTGTTTTGATTACATTTTTATCGCAAGTAATTAATTAAGAAAATACGGCAATTGATGATGTATAAGTCAATAACCTTGAGCAACAGGTGCGTATGAAATTTCCATAAAATGACGTTCTATAAGGCAAATTCATAGGTAGTTATGAAAACGAAATAACAAAGATACTACTATAAATAAGAAATACATGTAGTATATTGCTATCTCTATATTTGACGTAATTATTTGAAAATTACACAATCAAACTTTGAATTGTAATTATTATTTAGTAATTAACATAATTCAAAAAAAAAAAAAAAAATCTATTCATATCATTAAACAGATAAATAATTGTATTGTTCTCTAAAAATAATAAGAATGATTTAAAATCATGGTCAAATATTTGAAGTACAAGAATATAATTGTATACATATAAAAAATTTAATAGTTTAATATGTATATAAGGGTTAAGCCTAACTATTCTTCATTGGAAAATGTTTTAGTTAAGGATAAAAATTAAAAGAATAAAACATTTGTAGTTTAAATAAAATATCAAAAACAAATTTATCAAATTTTGTTTTATCATTTTTACTTAGTATGATTAAACATTAAATTGTAGACTAGTTCTCATGGTGGTCTACATGGTAAATCTATCTTATGTATCTTAAGTCTTAAGTCAAGGAATTAAAATGGGTTGCAACCCTTTTTTGAAATTCGGGATTCCTGTACAAATCTGAAATTTGACAAATATGTGAAAAAACCCGGTTCTTTTCCAAAAACGAAACCAGAGTATACGTTTAAGAAACAAATTTTTAATTATACCTTTTATTTAATCGGAGAAAATATAATACTAGGTTTTAAATTGTTAACTTTAAACTATTCTGTAAATGTCCGTAGATGTAAATAGCCTAATATGATAGAAATATCTTAATATTTAATAAAAATTTAAAAAAAAAAACTCATAAATCGAAACCTAAGAAAACCTTAAGTCTGGTTGTTACCCTTTAACCAAAACCCCAGAAAAATTAATCCATTTTGACTTTATTTTGACCAATAAATAGAGCCTTCTGAAACCATTTTCTTTTTAAATTATTTTCACTATCTTTGGCTAAGTGTCTGGAAAACTACGACTTCAGACGCATCAATATTTATTACAAAATGTTATGTTTAAAATTTAAAAATGTTGTCATATATATATATATATATACATATATATATATATATCGTACGTGTGTTAATCCTATTGAACACAAATCATATAATAATATAATTTTTATATCTTACTGATATTAAGGGAAAGTATATGATCAGATACTAATACTAATAAATAATAATACTATTAATAAAAAGGTACTTGTTTTTAATTTAAAACAGTTAAAACAAATAACAATTGTGAATTAATTTAATATTTTTAAGTTTGTTAAATATTATTATTAGGTCACAATATTTTTAATATTTCGATTTTCATTAATTATTACTATGTCACTGCTTTAAATTTTGGGTGTGTGACATCGTTTTAACATTTAGTATACTAAATAATACAATTCAAAATAGTAATAATTATTCATCTACCTATACTTAAGATAAACATTTATAATATCATTAAGTATTATAAATGATATAACCATTACATTATCAAAATATTATTATATTTTTTAGATGAAGTCGCAGATAAAAGATGGTCAGATGAAGCAATACATGGAACCAAAAGTTATACATTGGAACTTTCTCCTAATTCAGTTCTTATGGGCACATCGGGAGAAACGGTTAAACTATACTTCAGAGTAATAAATAAACAATGGATACATCAAGAGTATAAATTTCATTGCTATGATCAAATGGGTCTTATAAGATCAGTGTTACCAACAAGGTACGTGCTTTGGAAAATTATTGAAAGGCTTGGTACACTAGTAGTAATGTTGTTGCTATATGAGGCCACCACGTGAACCTTTTACCCAAAGATATATCGAGGTATTTAACAAACAGTTTCCTAGGTATATTTTCGTCATTAAACTTTAAATTAATTGGTGTGTGGTATAACCTTTGGCTTCAATGCTTTTAGAAGCTTTAATTTGGATCTTCTAGTTTTTACACCAGTTCGATAGAATATCTAGACGATTCTGTAAATTAGCCATTATTGTTTCGATGTTACGAGATTCACTATAAATTGTTGTGTCGTCTACAAAGTAGAAATATCAGGACGATTATGGTATTGAGGTGAAATAGTTTTACTATTGGAATGCATTTGAACAATAGGAAACACACGCGTTTTTTTGGAGCAACAGAGCGCTAAGAACGATTTTTCGCGTCGGCTACTGATAAATGAATTTAAAATGCTTGATAATAAAATATCTCCCGAGAAAAGCCGAGTTATACAACTAGAATATTATAAGTTTAAAAATTATATTTACTGGTAGGTTATAATGATGTACTATACATCACATTTTAATACATTCATATAAGCATTAATTATGTAATAAAAATCTAAATAAAATAATAAAAGTAATATAAAAGAAATTTCTAACATCAAGTATGATTTATGGTAAATGATTGAACTAATGATTGTTCTTAAATTATTTTTATTATTCTCTAAGTGTTATGATACTTTAGTGTAATGCTACCTCCAAATAGTACACCATTTGATGTAATGGTAGTTTTGGAAGTAATAGGACCAGAAGGATCAATTGATCAGATTTCATTTTCCGTCGTTCAACCAGAAGTAGAAACAATTAAAGTTAATTTTTACATCGGGAAACTAGTGAGAATTTAATAATACTTATATTTGTAATAATATTTAAATAACTATAATGATGTATATTTACAGAATGGAGATACGACACAACCAACCATAGATTATATATTTAATGGTGATTGTCGTTTTGCAGATACTCCACATAATTGTGCTTCCGAAAAATGGAATATCGAAGCTACTATTCAAGATGAAAATTCAGGTAATTATTAAAAAATATTGAAGTGAATTCCATTTAATCTTTGACATTACATAATTAATTTTACAAACATAAAAAGTTAAGGATTTTAAATATTGTAATTTATAATATTTGATTAAATTTAAACATATATAATATCATAATTTTCATAATAATTCAATAAATAGATATACTCTATTTTACAATATACTTAATTAATTATACAATATACGAGGGCGTACCTAAAAGAAACCGAACTATTTTTATACAAGGTTATTTATTTAACTTTTTTACAAAAAACATTTAATTTCCTTCAAAGTACTCTCCGTTGAATTTAATGCACTTATTCAATCTTTTGTTCCAATTTTCAAAGCACTTTTTAAACTCATCTTTTGTGATGCCTGCCAGTGTCTCCGTCGTTTTTTTTAAACTTCATCAAAATCGCGAAACGCTTTCCTTTCATGTCCCTTTTCATTCCGGGGAATAAAAAAAAGTCACAGGGGCCAGTTCGAGTGAATAGGGTGGATGGGACACAGTGGTCATACCATTTTTGGTCAAAAATAGTACAGAAAGGGCTGTGTGAGCAGGAACATTGTCGTGATGAAAAAAATAGTCCCCCGACTGCCACAAATCAGGTCTTTTCCGTTTCAAACTGTTGCGTAATCTTAATCTAGATCTCTTCACTACTTCTTCGATGGTTTGCCATCGATCTTCCAGAATAATTTTGTGAATTTTTTTACATTTTCGTCGGTTTGTGCCGTCGAAGAAAGTCCAGAGCGAGCTTGATCATCTATCGACATTTCACCACTTTTGAAACGGGAAAATCACTCAAATACTTTAGTTTTCCCGAAAGCATCACCTTTGTAAGCTGTTTTAAATATCTCAAGGGTATCCGTTTTCCCGAGCAGAAAGCAAAATTTGACGGCCACGCGCTGTTCACGCAAATTAGCCATTACAAAAAACGACGAGTACGCAAATTCACTTTAGAAAAAAAAACACCGACGTAACGCAATCTTCTACGATGACGTCTGTTGGTATATTGACTGTTGAGAAGTATTTCTATACGGTCCTAACAGAAAAAACGCGATACTATTACTACTCTGTCTCACAACACATCAGTTTGGTTTCATTTGGGTACCCCCTTGTATGTAAGGAATGGGAAACCTATGACACGCCTATTCCATAGTGATAATGGCACCTAATTTAAATATAACTAATTTTTATTTCAATTTCCAAAAATAAAATATAACTGATAATTGAAAATAATTTGATTGATATTATATAATTTTTTTAATCATGTGTTCATATGTATGTATGTAACAGAAAATAATATGAAGTTTAAATGTAACAGTAAATAGCGGATTTTTATTTGATTTCATATTGACACGCCAACATAGTGGAAAACTCAAATATACAAGAACTACATAATTTCACTATACCGTATGTTCAATTTTAAAGGTAACAGGAAATATTTCAAACGCAAGACTTTGAATTTAATTCGGGTTTTTTTTATAGGGTATAGGACTTATAAATACATGTTTTTGATAAATTTTAATTTTTAACTTTTTTTAATTTGCGCATGCGCAATAAAATAAAAATTTCTTAAATGGGAACCACCATTTTTAACACTGGATTTGGTTTGCTCTATTTTTTTTTGAGCAACTTTGATTTTTACAGTTTTTTGATATGTTCAAAATTGACATTTTTAAGATGGTCGAAAATTTTAAATTAGGTAATTCGTATTTATCGCATATTTCAACGCTCTACGTATCTCAATCAAGCATTTACAGATATTATTATAACAATTTATTTTTATTAAAACTACAAGGTGTATTTATTATAACATTGAATTTCTAAACAAATATCATAAGATAATAATAATAATAATTTATTATTCCATAAACTGTTCAAAATTATTGGCATTATTTTCAACACATGCTTCCATTCGTCTATGTAGTTTTCTTTGTGTAGCTGCTATTATTTGATCTTCGGTGAGTTCATTACACCCAATGATTATTTTATTTTTCAAATCATCAAGATTAATAGGTAGATTTTCATAAACTACTGTTTTTAAATGTCCCTATAAAAAATAATCCAACGGTGTTATATCAGGTGATCTAGCGAGCCGTTGTACTGGACCATATATACTCATCCATTTATTGCTAAAAGTTTGGTTAAGGTATTCTCGAACAATAATTGAATTATGGGCGGGAACATCTTGTTGAAAAATGCTTTGAAATATGCGATAAATACGAATTACCTAATTTAAAATTTTCGACCATCTTAAAAATGTCAATTTTGAACATATCAAAAAACTGTAAAGATCAAAGTTGCTCAAAAAAAATAGAGCAAACCAAATCCAGTGTCAAAAATGGTAGTTCCTATTTAAGAAATTTTTATTTTACTGCGCATGCGCAGATAAAAAAAGTTAAAAATTAGAATTTATCAAAAAATGATGTATTTATAAGTCCTGTACCCTCTAAAAAAAACCAGAATTAAATTCAAGGTCTTGCGTTCGAAATATTTCCTGTTACCTTTAAAATTGAACACATGGTATAATACGGTAACAACTACCTTAGATAAATAAATGTATACCAAAAAATACCTCCATTATGTCTTTTTGGTTTTTTATTTATAATAGTTTTTTTTTTAAATTAAATTTTTATAAGTATCAAAAAAAAGTAAGAGGTACTGTACGTTTTACGAGCGTAATAATATGAAAAACATCTTCAGCGCCTTTCGATCCAATCGAGCGCCTAACTTCAAGTCTGTTAAGTGTGGAAATATCACACTTACTGGATTATTCGAAATTAGAATGAGCCTTACATATTAACATATGTCTTATTGTAAACAAACAAACGTAATTTACAAAGGTACATTACCTAAAGTTATTGAAATATTAATATTGCGTAAATGCCTTTTAAATATTTTGCTTAGAGATTTGTGTTATAAACATGTTCCAAAAGCATGCGAACCGACTTTGCTTGATTCCTTTCGGCACTTTATCAAAAATATTCTTCGATATGATAGAAAATATTTCATACAAAACATAGTACCTAGTTTAAATTAATTGAATTTAGTCTGCAGGTAAATTTATAATTACTTCTTATAGTTAATAATAAACGTTTTATAAGTAATTTACTATTCACTATTATAAGCTATAACATAGGTTAAGTATTATCTTTTACTCCAAGAAACTTTTAAATAAAATAAGTTTAATATTGATTTTAAAGAAAACTTTATCTCATAACGTATTAAACAAAAAAAATTATTTTAAAAATAATCACTTCGGATGTAATCAGTATTTATTATTTTTAAATTAATTGATTCTAATATATATGAAAATTATACTATTTGAACAATAGGTTTAGCTATGATTACATCAATACCTAACAACTTATGGTTACGTAGTGAATTCAGCATTGGAACTAGAGAGCCAGTAATTGTATATTATTCAGCAACATGTTGTTTCCCAAAATTAGAAATCATTGCTACAGATTTAAGAGGCAATACGCTTAAAAAAATAATAAATGCAGAAAAACGTAAGTACATTTTTTTAATTAAATATATTAAACTCATTAAAGAAAGAAAAATAAATATATATATTAACCTAAACAATCGGGATTTAAGATTTGCTGAAATAATTGAAAATCTGAATAATTTGGTATTTTTTTGTACTAAAACATTATTAGCGATATTGTAATAATTTATAGTAAATTCATTCCCAATACCATGGTAGGTTATATTCTTCGGCTAACCCTTCAGGCCCATTATTGCTACAACGTACTGCCTTCATTGTTCCCTGTCTTTTGTTATTTTTTAGCATTTCTTATCCCCAATATCCTTATATCATAGTTTATTCAGTTTGCCCATCCTTGTTTAGGTCTCCCTTAGGGTCTCTAGTTTCTATGTGGTTATATTTTGCCCGATTAATCATTCTGATTCGCACACATGCTCGTCTCAACTTATTGTCGTACTTTTTAAAGTTTTAAAATTGCTAGGTTCGTGTTATAATAAATCTACCAAATTTTCATTGTTTTTTTTTTTTTTTGCTAACTTTTTTTCTCGAACAATTTTAACTTTCTTTCATCCGATATTTTCGTGGTCCAATAATAGGTATGGATAAAGAACATTATTATTATAATTTATAATCTATCGTATTCTTTATACCTTAAACAAGTATAAACTATCGAGTATACCTACTCTTTAGTTTTTTAAAATAATAATACCAAAATTGTTTTGCGTCATTTAATACAATTGTATTTTACAAAAAATTTAAACAACAAAATGTTTTTGTAAATATTAAAATTTAATTAAATTTAAATTATTGAAATAGTAATCAATAATAAAAATATAATTACATACGTATGTACAATACAATACATTTATACTATTGAAATTATTGATACTATAAAGAAAAAATAATATTCATACCTATTTTAATCGTGTGATTTATTACAAATTTCTTAATAAACCAAACAACGAAAAGTGGGATTTACAATAAATTAAAAATTAAAAATAACTTGTGATTCACAGTAAATTATTTTTACATAAATATGTTTATTTGTTGTTACAGAATACTTAAATATTGCTGAAATAGGATTAATAATTTTATCAGTAATAATTTTGTTATTATTCATTTTAATTTTTGTTTGGGCTATTATAAGATGTCAACGAAGAAAAAGGAGTCGTGAAATATCAAGCTAAATTACAAAAATTTTATAATAAATATATATTTACTTGCAGTATTATTTTTTGGGTTTTGATTATCATGTATAATATTATTAGATGCAACCTTACCTTTATTTTCATTTACGTTCGACATTTTCTGTGTTGTGTAATTGTATTCATTTATGTAAAAAAAATTTTTTATTTTCTAGAAATAATCACAGTTTCTGAATGCGTACCGTAAGAAAAATATAAAAATTAAAAATATTATATTCCTTCTAACACACGGAATGATTAAACGTCTACTGATCTATTAGATTGAAAATAATTAACTAAAATATTACAAAATCATAATGATAGATTTAAACATATAAATAATAATAGCTTATATATGATAAAAATATTATCAAAGTGATAAAGGCTTCAATATTTACACTATGGTTTCTAGAAAACAATATGACCTTGTGATAAAAAATAACAGATTAGATAGTGATGTACATCATGATAATTGATCAATTCAATTCAAGACGTGGAAACATAATTTTATATGTTTTACTGATGGCATAAAACAATAGTGATGGTAAATTATTATTTTTTTCAGTAACTGTTGAAATAGCAGTGTCTGCTACCTATTTCATGTTAAATCATATTCAAAGTTCATGTTAAAATTACAGAAAATAGTTGCAGAAATGTCTAATTGAAACAACATAATAATTTAAATTTGAATTGTCAAAATTTATTCAAATTAAATCAACAGCCTCATAGACTTTTTTACTTATACTCGTTTAATTTATTTTTAATCAATTTTCAAACAATGAAATAGGTACCTACACAATACATAAAATTAAAATTTAATTTGAATAAATTTTATAAAATATATCATGTATCATTTGAAAATGAATAAAAGGAAAGGGCTAATAGCATAGGCTTGTGTTCAGGGAGTGCCGGGCTTAAAACTCTAGGAGGACGAAATTGACTTTCGGAGGAGGGGAGGAGAGGTGCGATGGTACCACTAATTTAATAGCATTAATAATTGGAAATTCATTAATGTCCATATGTTCCTTTATAGTAGACGTATTCGCATACATCAGAACTCGTAGATGTCTACTAATTAAAATTGTCAAATAATATTGTAACGTTTTATATGAATAGTAATGTTAGGAATTTTGGAATTTAAGTAAATTTCTTTACACATCATTTGCCTTGTTTTCCTCCATACAGTAGTGAAATGGTATTTGGTTGTTATGGTTGCTTATAAACTTTTAATAAATCGAATAGCTATTTGAAAAGTAGGTACGATGTCATTTTAATTAGGATCATAATAGAGAAAGAGATAATATAAAAACATATAAATATATATATATAAATACATTTATATAACACAAATATATACAAATTTATTTTTAACGGTCTGGTTAAATGTTAAAACTGGCCTGCCTAATAAAATCTCGCATATCCAGAAAAAAAAATGAAATAACCCGAAACTACTCAAACTGGCGGGAAAATATCTGTTAATAGAAATACACCTTCTAATAAGACATGTATAGAAAAATTAATGTATGCCTAGGAACTAGAACCTTAGAATAATATGCTGAATTTCCAAAAAGAACATATGAAGAAGATAACACACTACCTACCTTTTAATTTCGTTACTTTACATAATACAATTGTAAATCGCGATTTTAAGGAGACTTGAAATGTACGCAATGAACATGGAGAGTAACAATGTGGCTTTAAAAAATTTAATTCCATGACAGATCATATACATACACCAAGACAATTTATGGAGAAACACTAATAATATAATAAAAATTGACATATGCTGTTTGTGAATTTCAAACAGGTATATGATAGAACAGTCTTTTATTAAATGATGTAATGTAGTTAATATTCTAAGGCTAAGTTTTATACATTTTGCATACTAGAAAATATGTTACAAATAAAATTAAAATCTGTAGTTTTTATCATCCAACTGAAAAAAATAACTATATTGAAGATATAGTAAAATAGATAACTAATGTAGGTATTTCATAAATTAAATTCAATTTATAAAAATGATTATCAAATTATAACAAAGCAGCCAGACACGGCGCCAAGGGGGACTCTAGCCAACCAAAAACTGTTCAGCCCCCATGCCAGTCCCCCCACTGAAAAATATGTATTATATAATTGTCATAAATATTATTTTTAAAAGAGGTACATCAAGGAATTTATGAAATATACTTTTTAAAAATTTTTAATTTAGGTAAATATTTTTTGTATTTTCCAAGAACTTTGTTTTAGATTGATTCTGAATTGTATATATATATTTTACTTATTTATTTATGATTTATTACCATTTTATCGTTCGTTTTAATTTAAGTGGTTACAAAAATATTAATGGTTATGTTATATGATACAAAAATATTTATATTTTATTTAAATGACCTCAGTATTTGTTGAAAAAACCTTAGCCCATATAAAAAAAAATATGTACCGCACTTTGACCACTCTGGAAAAAAATTCTAGTACTATGTCTGTATGCAGCTATACATATATTTAAGTGTGTATATTTCATAAATGACTATTGTAATTTTTTTTTGAATCTTATAAGATAGTATTTAAAACATGTGAAATAATAATGAGATAGACAAGATATGCAATATTTTTTTGTTTGATCCAACAATAGCTCTGGTTTGCTGTAGAAAAAATTGTTTGTTGAACAAAAATATAAATACAATTTTTCATTACATTAAGAAACTCATTCAGTGGTTCAAAGTAACTGCTTTCCTTAGGTAGGAAGCAAAATATACCTATCAGTTAGTAAAAAATATCTTAGTCTAGTTTTTAATGGTATATTTTTTCCTGAAAAAAAAATTATTTTCATGCCATAATTAAGAATTATTTATTACTTACTTTCATAAATTAATTTAGTACTTCTTTATCTGCATAAAAAAATAAAAAGAATAAACATTTTAGAATTTAATTTAATTGTCAGAGCAATGAGCATTTTATTTTATTCCTTTAATATATTTTAAATACATTAATTTTTTTGTTTGATATATTTTAAGTATAATGAATAAAATAAAATTACTACAAAAAAAAAAAAAGAAAAGAAAACATAATGATGGTTTTTTAAAGAAATGTATAACATATACCGATACTGGCAATACTATTTTAATTATAATATTTAATTAGCTAATTTAAAAACAATTATTACAAATTGTTTATTAAATATTAAATTATTTACAATAACTATATCTAAATAATAATACCCTAAATATTACAAAATCACAGTATAAGTTCTGTTATTTAATTATTAAGTACAATACAAAAATGGTTGTATAAAATTATAATATTTTAATAATTAAAATATACGATTATTATTAAATATTTATTACAATTTTCCTTTACTATAGTCATTACTTTATAGCAATAAATTTCTATATCATTCCATATAAAAAAGTGTTTTCAATACTTCTTAAATTTTGTTATTAGCATAAAATGGACATTAAGATAAAAAATTTAACTAGAATTAACAATAAATTAGTTTTGTAAACAATTTAATAATATTTAGTAATAAAAAACATACTATTTAATTCCAAATAAAACGTTATAAATAATTTTGTAAAAATGATAAAAATGTAGCATCATAATGCTTTGTAGCATCCAAACTTCTTAAGCTGTGCCGTTCATTTGGATAGATCTAAAAAATAGAAATTAAATTGTAAAATAAACTATACAAATTTAAATTAAAAAAAAAATTAATATTTAATAGGATCATGGATTAAATTAAATATCGCAACTAAATGAAAAAAGTTTAAATAATTGAATAACCTAAATTTAATACTAATATAACAAAAAAAGAAAACTTATCAATACACAAAAAAAAAATGATACATAATTAATAGCATAGTATAAAAATTGATAGTGAAAAAATAATTTTTTTTTAATATTATATTATAATTTCATACAGAGTTGTATAATTAATGTTTTTCAATAAAAACATTTAAATAACATAATATTTTATTCAACTAGAAATATAAGTTTTAATGATTTATAAAAAAAAAAATCTTACTTGCAATTGATATGGTTTTCCATATTTAATAAGTGTGTTGATTAATAAACTGGTGTGAGAAAAATGAACATTTTCATCAATTAGTCCATGTATGATTAGTAATCTGTTTTCCCTAGATGAAAATAAATGTTAAATAAATAAAAACTCTAACATGTTGTTTATATAACAATAATTTAACATTAGTGATACAAAACTTACTCATCAGGTAATCGGCTCACATAACTTAACACTGAACCATTCATGTATCCAACAGAATTGTACTGTGGTAAATCCATATACCGTTCTGTATAACCTGTATCATACATTGCCCATGATGTTACAGGCGCTCCAGCAATTGCTAACTGAAATAACCAAGAAATATTTACAATAAAATTCAAAATTGAATAAATAAAATAAAACAAACAAATCTTCAATTAAATTTACTTTAAAGATATTTGAATAGGTAGCAAGTCCCATAAGACTAAGATAACCTCCATATGACCATCCATGAATTGCCAATCGATTCATGTCTAAGTATCCAAGATGTTCATCTAACCACTGAAGAACTTCAATTTGATCTGAAAGTTCTACAGTACCCTTAAATCGTAAGTTTAATATTAGTTGATTAGTATTTTAGTATATAAAGTATCATGAGATACTTACCAATCTTCCTTTTAAATGACTTTCAAACATTAAACCCCTATGTCTTGAACCTCGAGAATCAATTGCAATTACTACATAGCCTTGAGATGCCAACATATGCATTCTTATGTGTCGAGCACCCTATGATGATATTAATTTCATATTACAGAATAATAATTATAATGTAGTCATTATAAAATTATTTAAATAAAACAGATTTACCTTAAATGTATTGGTTACAAGTTGAACTTCTGGTCCACCATATACATGTAGAATAGTTGGATATTTTTGACCAGGAACAAAATTATGCGGTTTAAAAACCATAGCAAATAATACATCACCAGAACTAATTTGATGTGTAACTAGAGTAGGACTCTGAAGAACACTATTTATTTCTGTTTCAAAATATAAATGCATTATAAAATATAATAATAATGGTAATTTAAAAATATTCACCAGAATTTTCCATTAAAAATCCAAGTGATTGTAAATATATTCCATCAACAGACATATTATTATTTTCTATTCGAAATACTTGACAAGATGGAGGATTTCTTATATTACTGTAAACAGCCACACAAATCTCGCAATTCTAAACGTAAAAATCAAAATATTATAAATAAAATAAATATATAATATTATTTATATAATTTAAAAAACACCTTATGTATGAAATCAGTTTTAACACTTATTTGAAAGATTTTGGGTATATACATATATATTTATAATCTTTTAGCAAAATTAATAGTATGACAATTATCATCATAAATAATATTTATCCAAAATTAGTGTACCAATATATTTTTTAATTAAAAAAAAAAGTAGTGTTGACCATATAATCGTAAATATTTTAAACCTAAGTTTAATTATTTAACATGTTTACCTTATCAATATCAATTTCATAAGAATATCCTGGTTTGGTTAGAAGTTTAATATTCCCAGGGCTCTTCAATGATACTGCGTACAGATGTTTTTCTAATGGTGATTCTCTGACAGCCATGAAATACACTAGTTGTTGTTTTAGATTAACCCATAATCCTTTACCACACACTTCCCAGTTTCCACTGGTCAGCGCTAACTTAGACATCATCATGTTATCTAATAATAAATAAATCATTTAAACTAATATCAAATTTAATAAAACAAGCCTAAATATTTACTTTCACTAGGATCTACACTTTGAATGCCATTTTCATGAGATACCTTTGTAATTATACTAGTAATTAAGTATAAATGTCGAAATCCAGTATCTTCTGTAGCCCAAATCATGGTTACTTCACCATTACTTGTAATGGGAAACATATATAAAAGATCATGAACCTATAATATTATACAATAGAACCTCGATTAATCGTGCTAATTTTTCTGAAAATTTATATGTACAGGAGCAAAGTTAATACAGATTTAAGCAGTATATTGTAAAAAGGTCAAAGATGATAAATAATAATTATTTAGTAAACAATATTATAAAAAGATTTATGGATATAGTTGACATCTTCTTGAACTTAAACTCGCAGGAATATTTTGACTAATATGATGTCATGAATTCAAAAAAATTTAGAAGTAAGAAAAATCATTTTAAACTACAAAAAATAAGGACTAATTACTTCAAATATAAAGGTCTGATAATTTTAAAATATGAGAATGTATATTTATATACCATAGTTTAAATATTTAATTATAATTAAATTAGAATTTGTTAAATAAAAAGTTTTAATTTTTGAAAGCGATGATTTTCATTTATCTGTATGACTTTTCCCCACTATAACCCCAAATAATCGAGGTTCTACTATATTCAATATTTAAAACACTAGTGAAATAATGTGTAAAGTTAAAATTGAAATAAAATTATAAAGTTATTCTATTATTAAAATTAGATATATGATACTTAAATGTAAAAAATTGAAAGTGGAATATTTGGGAGAAAAAAAATTGAATGACAAAGGATATATGATAGTAAAAACATTTATTATTTAATTTAAAGAATTTATAAGCACATTATTATTATATATTATTAGTATATTAGTAATAGAGTTTAAAAATATGATATAGGTATAAGTCAATCTTTGATGTGATTGGACAATTGTTATTATTATTGTGTATTAGTTCAATTTAATAATTTTAGATGTATTTATCACAAGAAAAACAAAAAATCATATATTAAAATATAATACCTAATAATCTATATACACAGAAACTAAATATAACTCACTCATTGACCATCACTACATCTCACAAACGGTAGATTATATGAACTTGCGATTTGACATAATGATTCTATAAATGTGTAATAAGAAAAGATTTTCCAAAATTCAATCTCTTAGGGTTAAAGAAAGTAAAAAAGAAAAGTAGTGAATCTGAAAAAAATCAGATAGCCGGAAATGTTTAAGCTAAAACATTGAAATTTGGTGAGTAATTTTGTTTTATGATGTAGGAACTTCACAATTAATTTTTAAAACTCAAAAAAACAATTAAATATATGAACTTGAAATTTGATATAGTGGTGTCTCCAATACTCAATATGTGTAATAAGAAGGGATTTTGAAAATATTGGTATTGACAAAGACAGTTCTATGATGTAAAACTGGTGTACTGGTGTATTTAGTGTACAACCAAAACTACTATACCAATTGCTTTAAAATTTCATTTTATTTGTTATATAACCAATAGTTAAATCATACTAAACTTTAAAATAGTGTAAGTTAAGAATCAATAAAAACTATGTGCCAACTAAGACTATTCTGTAAAAAGCTGAATCATTCAGCTAGTACTGAAATAAAATCAAGATATTATGTTTGAAATGATAATTTCATCTCTTATTCTTCACAAATTATTAATACATATTATGCTACAAATTAAATTAAAAAATAATCTGTTATTGAAATAACAACTACAGTAAAATAATTTAAATCCCTCTACCACCAAATTATCTTGTATCTAAGTGTCAAAATACCATTAAAATTACCCTAATTATTCTATTTCTTTTATTTAGCATATAAATAAATAAATTTCCGATGAAGAGAAAGTGGTGTAGCCATTGTCAAATATCCATACAGAATATAGCTATAACCTTACCCTAACTAATTGAAGTAATCGGGTCCTCCAAGTTGGAGGTTAAGCACAGGACTAACAACCCTGCCTTAAAAAAGTTTTTGTTCAGGATTCATACAAGCCTTGGACTAGAGTATATGGTAAAACGATTGAAAACTGAAAAAAAGAATTGCTATGTGCAATGTGTAAACCTTGCACAAACTAGATACGGCCTTGGATTTGATTACAGATTTAGAAAAAAATTGAATGAAATGTGTAGCTTTTCATGAAATTTGATGGGAAAATGCTGGTGCAACCAAAATATCTCAGACAACTATCTTTAATGGAGAATGTAAGAAGGCTCCAACTTGGGAACTAGTTTTGCCGTGCACAAATCAATTATACATTCAGTAAAGAAGTTATAAGATATAAATCCTAGAATCTTAACTTTAACCCTGAAAATAGACAATTTTGACGTGGTGTAGAAATAAACTAGAGTACTTAATTCAAGATGAGTTCTCAAACTAGACTCCAAATTTTTTTAAAAAATCGAATACTCGTTCAACTCTATAGTATAGTATTCATTAAATTAAATAATAACTTTTTAGTAAAATTAACAAATATTTTTTGATTGGTAATAATATTCAGTAATTCAATAAATTACTATCAAATGTTATCTGGTAGCAAATTATGTACTATTTTTCAAATAGTTAATATTATTTCTTACGTTAACCCAGACATTGGAAGTCTGGGAGTACACAACTTGAGGAGGAACAAATGTTGAATTATGTGATGGATTAATTATATTAGAAGAAGCATGATCAACAAAATTATCAATGGAAAGAACCACCAGTTCAAGTCTTTGTTGTCTTCGATCTAGGACTTGGATCCATATTCTACAATAAAATTTAAACATATATTTTAATAATTTTTAAGTTATTTAAATCAAAATGTAACAATTTAATTTACTTTTTTTTAAAATGTATATACAGTGTGTTCACGTTGTGGTATGTACAATTAAATATTACAGTTTGATTACCTCAGGCGCGGATCCAGACTACCATAACGAGAGGGGCAGATTAAAAATAAGTTACTCTATAAGTTGGTTGGAGATGGATGACTGATGGGTCATCAATCATAAGGTCACAATAATATTGTTCTTATCGACTATTCATTAATTTATGTTATAAAAATAAAAGACGAAAATGTGTGATGATAACAATTTATTAGAACAGGGGCGGCCAAACGGTTGATCGTGGATGATTTCAGAGTTGATCATGTTAGAATTTATTTTTAGGCCATGTGTACAAAAATTAATCGTGGTGGTTATGAACAAATTGTTGATATATTTTACCTTTTATTCTGGTTCATAAAAAAATTTTCCAAGAAAGTCGATCTTCAAAGGTGAAGATTATTTTTTGTAGTTCGTGGCCGAAAAAAGTTTGGCCACTTCTGCATTAGAACGTTATTATGCAAGATAATGCAATTTAATAGTATATCAAATTAAATTAACACATTTTGATATGGCCAACGATGGGGGTGGTCCCTCCTGGATAACCTTGTGTTGAAATGGGGTATTCAGGGAATGAAAGGGAGTACCAAAATACACAACTTTCAAATATTTGACCCCAACGCTATGTGCATGCACAATACAACTTATTTTTTTTTTAAATAACAACACCATTTTTTTTCCATATATTTGAATAGAGTAATTTTTTAAAACATTTTTAGTATAAAAAGTTTTTTTCTAATTACAAAGTTGGCAATGTTGTAATTTGTTGAAGTTTAATATTTACGAATAATCTGGTCTTGATAATATTTTTATTATGTTCAACTTAATACTTGAAAATCAAAATAAAATCACAGATATGGTTAAATATATATTCGTAAACAGATAAAATATAAAAAAAAAAAACTTATTTTTTTTATTGTAATTTATTCTAGTTTTTGTCATTCATACCTCCGAAACAAGATAACTAAATATTGATGATAATGAAAATTACAAAAATATACACACTATGAATTTGAAATTAAGATCTTATTTATGTCTTATCTGTCTATAAATAGATATTTAACAATGTCTGAGATTTGATTTATTTTTAAGTATTAAGTTGAACTTAGGTAAAATTTCATCAAGACCAGACACACTGTATATATATTTATTATGAAGGTTGATATTTAAACTTACAAATCATCATTGGGTGTCCACCCTACTCTAACTAAGTATTCCATCCAAGGAAACATATGTGATAATGGATATTGAAGTTCCATATTTTTAATATTAATAATTTGACATTCTTCATCGATTTGAAATGATACAAGCTTTAAGTTTGACTTAGAGTTAGCAGTACCAGCTCGAGGAAATCTAAAATTAAAATAAATTTATTTTTTAATAAACAATATATAATACAAAATAATAATTACTATACCTATATTGTTCAATTTCACCTACACCTGATGCATTTGATGAAGGAAAATTAAAAATTTTAACTTCACTTTCATCTACTTCCTCATATAAAATTCTGTAGACATTATCTTCTATAAAAAATAAAATAAAAAATTAGTAAAATAATAAATATAAATACTTATGATTATAAAACATCCTATTACAGTTTATTGTGTTATTTTTATAATTTTTTTTTGTGAAAAACCGAAATAATAACAATCATAAATATCTCCACAAATTAATCGAATCACTACAATTAAATTTGTAATATATTTAACTATATTAGAATTATACAATTTAAAATTAAATACATAGCATAACTTTTTTACTTGTATTTTTTTGTATTTATTCAATACTATAAAATACAACCAATTAAGAGTAATACAGAATTAATTTTCTAAAAGTATTGAACATAAATAGAGAAATTATATGGATTACTATAAATAACTATATTTTTTATTCCATAAAATAGCTAATTATTATAGGTAATGAAGGGTAATTAGTAAAGAAATACTACAAAATATTTAGGCTCACAACTTTAGTCATGAAAAATTAAAATATTAAATAAATATTCTTAAATCATAGAAATATAAATAGGTACTAAAAATGTAACAGTAAATTTTGCAAGTAGTTTATTTAACAAAAAAATGAGTTTATGTAGTCATAACGTCTAGTGAGAGTTTAAAGTAATATAGTAATGTATATATTTGAAATATATTTCATTATTTTAATTTTTGTAGAATACCTTATTTAAATTCCAGAATGTTCTATTACTTACAACTAAAGTTAAGATGTTGATTACTCTTTCATTTGTTTTCTTTTGATCTTATACTATAATGCTATCTCTGTTTAAAATTTGTTTTGTGCTTTCTTAATTCAGAATATACTCATTTAATGTTGCATTTTTTATTATTTTTTACTTAGTTTAGGTCATTTATGTAGTTATTGTATAATGAAGATGGCATTTTTCTTAAATTTTATATTTTAAAAAAAATTTGAATATTATTCAAAAACATTATTTTATTATTAATATTGTAATTAAATTTATTATACAATGATAAGATTTACCCAGTGCTATTGCAAGTTTACACGATACCCTAAGCAAAAGGAATACAAATTCCTTTTTTTCTAAATACTTATATATCTAATTATTCTAACTTGACAAATTTATTTTAAGTGCAAGTCCCTAGGAAATTTCTTAAATTGCCTATCTATTTACGAAAGCACTGGATTTACCATATACATGTTATACAATTAAAAAACAAGTACTTTTTTTACATATATACTGATCATACATGTTTATTGAGAAGATATTCCAGAAGATCTAACTATTGATCACATGATCTACTTTAAGTATGCATCCATAACATCTGTTGTTATTGAGCAACATTTTTTATCACACAAAACTTTAAACTGATTAATTTTCTTTTGTTTGAAAATATCAGACATATTATAATCATTCAATGCAACAGTGCAATATGAAAATCAATTAGTATATCTATATATATAAAAATGGATCCAAAAATTTATAACATTTCATCAATTAAGAACGGTTGGGCCTATTTGGCTTAAATTTTTTTTAATTGTTCGTAATTGCCAAAAGGTTTTTACGAAAAAAAAAATGTTGGAAAGTGCTATTGTTTAATAAATCTTAGTTTAATTTAATAATTTTTTACCAGGTCCATAACTGCGCAATTGAAAATTAATTATTAAATGAAACTATTACAAAAACTATTAATTTTATTTATGGTATTAAATGACAGGTATTGCATAAATATTAAACAACAAAATCCCGCAACAGGTGCCACAACAAACAAGAATGTTAGTTCGAAGGATTATTATGCATATTGGTTGGATTAGACACGATCAGGACAATGTTATTCTAAGATGTTGTGAGCTTTGTCAACAATTCATGGTCGACATGTATGTAAAGATAGAGAGCGAACAATTTCAATACCTTCGATTCAATCAAAAAAAAGCTGCATGCGGAAGATTCTCAAAACAATTGTTAGATATCGGTGATGGGAATGTTACTACAGATGAAATGGAATGCATAAAATTAACGACCGATTTCTGCACAATCATTGATTCGTAAAATGCTTTCATTGACCAGATATTCCCCAATATACACAAACAATATACAAATCATGGGTGACTGGCAGAGAGAGCAATTTTAGTAGCAAAAAATTATTAAAAAAATAAATGTTTGATGTTTTTCCATTTTTATATTCTGTTACCGTTCACAGCACCCTATACCTCTTCTACTTATATACCACATCCTTACACACTTATATTAAATTAGTTATTTTTTTTCTAGCAAAATATTCTCTAGAAATAATTTATATGACAAAAGAATGTTTGTCGGGTCAACTAGTTTTTAGTATAATTTTTTTATTTCTACTTTATTTTTAATAATTTTATATACGTAATAATTAAAATTTAAGTGTATACTATTATCGATTAATATTACAATTCATATTTTTAATTACTCTGACACAACCATACCTCTAATAAAAATTATTATTTTTAAATTACATTTTTATCACTCATTTAAGTAGCATTTTTTTGAAGTTTTTAAGGCATATTAGGATTTTCGTATGTTTCTTCATAAACATTCTAACTCTACTTATAACTAAATTAGATTTATAATAAGTGACATTTTATAACTACCTGTATGTTTTTTGGGTTGCCACCAATAACCATGATAACGATTAAATTCTTCTTGCATAACATATGAGGGTACTCCTGCTGCCAAAGGATCATCTGATAGACATCGCCCCCCTTTATGGGCAAAAGTTAATCTTTTAGTACTACCTGAAAAAAATAATGTTAAAACTTTTAAATTTGTTATGCATATCTAATTTCATAAATTTACCTGTAGCTATATGAGTCACCCAAATATCAAAATTACATACATACGCAACAATATCAATATTATTTGGACAAATTTGAGGAGATAGCTTAGCTCCAGCAGCATTTGTTCTTAATTCAGTTGGATACAGTGAGTTTGTCTAAAAAGTAAAATAACTGATAAAAATATTATAAACATATTGATAAGACTAAATATATGTATACCGAGTATTCATTGTCATTACAATGAAATAATGTACTTGCAGCAGGAAAAACAATTCTACCAGATTCACTATTAATTTCATATGATGTAATTCCAAATGTAGTCAAACGCTTTCTTTCAGATAAGAGTTGTTCTTCTCGTGAATATCTACCACTCATTATAACACTTGGAAAATTAGACTCAATCAAAGGTTGCCATGATAATTGGCCAGCAACACTTTGATTTGGTAAATCAACATATAGAAGTGTTTCAAATTCATTTACGGGAGCACTGAGAAAATAAACACGAGTTTTTCCATTTTGTAATCGTCTGAATGATACATGTGAGATAGACATAACTGAAACTGTAGAAAGACGATGACGAAAGTCACATACTGTCTGCCGAATTTCAGACCATGTTTTTTTGCCTTCATTATTACTTATCGATTGTAGACCATTTTCTAAAGCATTATTATCTCCATCAGTGTCAGTATTATTTTTATTGATCGCAGGACTACAATTGCCCTGAAATAAAAATAATGAATTAATAATACCAGACTTAAATACTTAGAACGCTGATAAAATAAAGTTATGCAATACAAATATTTATTTAAAACTGTAGCATTAAAAAACAGCAATCCATTTCATTACCTGGTCGTTAGGTAACATAATCCACAGATTATAATTAATTCACGCTACTTATAATGTAATTAGAATCATTTCAAATAATTATAAAAATATTTTAACAATAGTAAACAAATTTAATAGAATATTGAATTTCAAATAAAAATATTTTTAATATTAACCCCAATAATTTCATAATTTGGCAACAAAGCTTCTGATGCCTTTCACTGTATTATTTAAGGTTAGATGTAGTGGGGAGTATCTGTTCGTCATCCGCCGGTCAAAATAAGGTAGGTACTGCCGTATACTGTGACTGTATTGGTGTATTGCAGGCTACTATGATAGTGTTATCAATTATTATCAATTATTTATTTTAGTAATTATTTTGTATTTGTCTTATTATTATTGAATGTAATATCACAGATTATATAAATATGTCTATGAAATATATTCATTTGGTCCGTAATAGTATCATAATTTTAATGTTTATCTACTACCTATGCTAATTATACGCTAGAGCATGATTATTATGTACCAAAAAGTTAATTTTTAATTATTTTAATAGATGTGAATTTGTTCAATAAATATATTGTTAAACAACTCTTAATACTTTACAATATATTAATTACATTTACTCTAAATAACTTTACAGTTATTAATCATCTGTACCTATAGATATAAGAATAATTAACTCAACTTTTCTGGTATATTAACTTACTTATTGGTTATAGTAGAGTTGCTATAAATTTATAAGGCGAAATCGGGACAAAATAAACACAATATTGAGTAATATACATTTTAAAAACTTAATACAGGGATGGCTATTCCAAGGCACTCCTGCCCAAGATGGCTCACGAAAATTTTTACTATTATATATTTTATACCTAATATATAATATTATAGGACCTATAATATAATAAAATATAAATAATTAACTAAGTAATATTATTATAATTATTATGTATCTTAACTAACCTTTTTATACCAATACATTAATTATATAATCAAATTATAATATAACAAAATATAATATTTTTAATATTTTTTTCGTGGCACGCTCTATAAAAAAAAAAAAAAGGTTAAATACTTAGACCTGACTTAATACATATAGTGGGCGTATACAAGGGGTGGATGTGGAGGTCAGATCCCCCCTAGGCCTTTTTTTAAATGTTATAAAATAATGTCCTTAGTGTGAGGGCGGTAGAAATGTAGAAAAAAAATATTGATAAAATAAAAATAAAGATTTGTTTGCAAATGATCCCCCCCCCCATACAAAAGTTATGTATATGCCACTGAAGAGGACCATTAATAGCTGGTTATATAATATTTAAAAATATTTCTGTAAAATAAAATATATTGTATATTTATATGTGTAAATTATAAATTATGTTTTTATTATATATTGTTAATCGATTACGATTAAAAATGTACTTTGAGATAAAATGGTCGAAATTAAAAATTAAACAAAACTAAATTTCCTCTAAACGTCTAAGCCGGGACATATAGACGTCCCGAAAATATTTTTCGGGACACTGGGACGCGAAGTCCAAAACTGGAGAAAATCCCGGTTTTCCGGGACGTATAGCAACCCTAGATTATAGTAGCAATTCTTTAATTTTTAATTCATCAGTAAAATATAAAAACGTTTAACGCATACGGTTTATTTGTAATCAATTGTAATTAAACTGTAATTCACGTTTTTAAACACTTCATTCACTTTTTTTAACTTATTGATATTCCATTTCTCATTATCATGATCATAGGCGCAACTAGGGAGGTGCAATAGGGTTTTTTATCACCCCTGAGTTCAAATATAGCACCCATGTTTTATTTTTCAGATCTATATAATCTATAGTAATTACAGTTAAATACCATTTAATTTTATTTTTAGCAATTTTAGCACCCCCAATATTTAGGCTATAGTTGCATCCATGATCATAATGGACATGGCAAATGGATGTTTATTATGTACATAGTATATAATATACTTGTTCAAAATAACAATATTATTTCACCAATATTTTACAAATAATTATTCTAATAAAGGTTACCTAATATATATTTATATAATCTTTCGAGATAGTGATCCGTAGGCAGTATTCATTAACTATTTTTTTATCTGAGCTCACGGCAGTGCGCCGGTCAAGTTCCAGCAATGCCAGTATATCTTTACAACGAACCAATTCACCCGGTTATTCAAACCCATATATTTCTGTTTCCTCTTAAGATAAACTTTTGAAATTTAAAACACAGATTAATCTCGAGTAGTTTAGGATGCTGTAATAAAATGAGCCCTTAATATTGTACCATTTCAAAATTTGCAATTTTGTTACCGACTCACTCACTAATCATCAAAATTATAAGACACTTCCCGTATAGGTAGAAACGTGAAATTTTACATTAAGGTAGTTTTACAGTGTAATTAAAGGGAAAAATCTAAAAATTGAATTTTTTTCAAAATTAATGTTGGTTTAGAGAGTGTACTTCTATACGTATACGTAAGAAGTGACGCGTTTAGCACGCATAAACGATTTCTTTCAAACAGCGTTACAATATGGCAATAAAAAATTGTTTGTAGTTGACTTATATATACCTTATATATATATATTTATAAAACATAAGAATGTTTTCGTTCATTTATTTTACTCAAATACAAAATATAATATAATTATTCAAATACAGAATATTTTAATAATGTTCGTCAGTATACGGACGATAATTTTACGTGATAACGTCATAAAAAAACATTGATAAAAGTTGAATGCTCTTATGAATTGAATGGAATTATTAGTTAAGTTCGAAATCATCAGCCGAGCCTATGTGCACCGACATCAATTCCCCATTTGCTTAGCTTATGTCATTACCACCCATAATAGTCAGGGATTAAGTTTACCTAATGCTTTGTTAGATGCTGGCAATTCAAAATTCTCGTGTATCAAGCATATGAGGCCCTTTCTAGTGTGACAAGCCTCCTGGGAGTTCACTTAATTAATTTTGATCCTTGTCAGGTGAAAGCCAAGGATAGTGCCATTGTTGAATACAACCGTCTAAGAACCTTGTATAGGTCAGACATAACAGATATTCTAAAGTATTGAAGATGAAAAAATGAAAGACCGTACTTGGCTATCATTGCCTGGTATTGACAACGCTCAAGAGTTCAATTTCTCAGCTCTTCAACAGAGACCCAAACGGTCTTACAAGAGAAAATCTACGACATATAAAAAAAAATTTAAAAAAAAAAAAATAATAATAATAACATTTCGTCCACGATGCTGAAGCCCGCAAAAATAAATGATAACCTCAAAAAAAACCTAACAGTGAAAAAAGTTTCATACTCTTTCCCAAAAAAGTCGGCCTATCAAAGTAGTGAAATCTACATTGTGGCTGGTATTTTTTAATTCATAACCCTACTGCACTCCTACATAAAAGAGCAACACTCCTCTTTTATATTGACAGGCCGACTTTTTAACCTAATCTTTTTTCATCGAAATGTTTTTTATGGAGATTAATGTTTCTTCAAATATTAACAATACGGTTTAAGGTATTTTTTTATCAAATGAGTTTGTTACTATCCAGAATATGCTAAGAAGAGGCAAAAGGAACAAGTATCGTAGAGTACCATAAGCGCTGAAAATATTAGACAAAAAAAAATATAAATATATTATATTTTGTGTTTTTATTATTTGTAAATTTTCTGAGGTAATTTGATTAAAAATATTCTGTATATAGGTATATTTTAACATTGCTTTATGAAGGTATTATAACGTATTTGTTACTATACATTTTATGACTAGAATTTTATAGGTCAATCATTCGAAATTGTCAATAGTGTGTCAGTCAGTGGCGTAGCCAGAATTTTTAAATGGGATGGACTCAACACTTTTTTGGGTGAATTAGGTAGGAAATGCTTTGAAAGTTCATCTATAACTCCACCCCCCCACTAAAATCATCAAATTTAAAATTATATTTTCAAAATTTTATTATAATTAAGTATAATAATATTTATTGAAATATAATTAATAATAATAATAAATTAACGGTGATCAACTATGTAGCATTTTCGCGACATAATATTTTATAAACACTATAGTGATTATAAAAGTAGTATATGTAAGTGTTAAACGAGAGTCGCCAAAAATACAGTAATTGCAGTAGAAGTAACATGTTAATGTATTTATCAATGACAAACACTCGTTATTCGTCAACTTTTAATTATTACCAAAGTTTTAAAATATTTAAATAACATAATTTAGTATATTAGTTTAGTACATGCACATAAACACGACCCATATTGAGGGGGGGGGGGAGAATTATAGCCTCCTTAGACCCCCTTGGCAACGCTACTGGTGTTAGTTATCTGCAATGGCATACAATCAAGAATTAGAGTAACATGGGGTAAAGGTACGCGTTTTCTATTATTTGGTTTTAAAATTGCAATAAACATATTGATATGCTCCCAAGTGGTATTTTTTTCAAAGTATAAACTTATAAAGAATGTAAATTTGCGGATTAAACTATTTTTTTTATACCTTTAAATAATTATTTATAAAAAATGAAAAAAAAAATAACAATTAGGAATTTTACCCATTGCGTGATATAAAATTCCGCGTTGGTTAGAGTAAAAGTCCTTATTGGAAATTAACATAGACTCAGTTGTATAGAATAACTTTTTATTTGTTATAAGCAATGGCGTAGCCAAGAGGGGGCTAAGGGGGCTATATCCCCCCATGGGCCGTGTTTATATGTATAATGTATCTTGACTATTTAATAGAATCAATGGATGCTCATTTTAATCAAAGGCTTATTGATGTTATGCCACTTGAAAAACTTATTCCGGCCAATTAAAATATGTATGGCGATAAAAATACTATAAAACCTACTAAAATATATGTCCAAGATCTCCATGATGATACCTCATCTACAGCCTAACCTAACCTAACCTAACGGGGTGGTAGTATGGGGTTCTGCCAAAAAATCAAACAAAAGAACCATTCAAGCCTTCCAAAATATTTGCTGTCGTCTAATTACAGGAGCACCCTGGTATGTCTCCAATAACATTATAAACTCCGATCTCAAGATTCGCTCTGTCAATGATACAGCCACTCTATATTACAAACGCTTCCACGCAA